CATTGTTTCATTGTTTGGACGAAACGCTTCTCATTTATAAACTGTTATTTATTCCATCAAGAATAAAATAGGGCAAACGAAAAAACATATCGAAGTGAAATTGAAATAAAGAATGCTGCCGTAACTAGAAGCTAAAATGTTCTTTCATAGTCCCTTTTTTCAATTTTACTGCAGAACGTCATCCCCTTTTTCAATTACTCTTCAAAATATCAGTGTTTAAATACTTGATTAAAATATTTGATAAGACCTTTTTTCGTATCAGTTCACTTATATTTAATGTAGATTTTCAGTTTGAAACTAGGCACACTTTTACATGTTTTATATAAAAGAGAGAGGCGAAACAAGCTGCATTTAAAAGCCCATTCGTTAAATTTACAAATAAAATTGAGAATGGAAATGGGGAATGTGTCAAAGAGACAACAACCCGACCATAGAACAGACAACAGCAGAAGGTCACCAACAGGTCTTCAATGTAGCGAGAAATTCCCGCAACCGGAGGCGTCATTCAGCTGGCCCCTAAACAAATATATATACTAGTTCAGTGATAATGAACGCCATACTAAACTCCAAATTGTACACAAGAAACTAAAATTAAAAATAATACAAGACTAACAAAGGCTAGAGGCTCCTGACTTGGAACAGGCGCAAAAATGCGGCGGGGTTAAACATGTTTATGAGATCTCAACCCTCCCCCTATACCTCTAGCCAATGTAGAAAAGTAAACGCATAACAATACGCACATTAAAATTCAGTTCAAGAGAAGTCCGAGTCTGATGTCAGAAGATGTAACCAAAGAAAATAAACAAAATGACAATAATACATAAATAACAACAGACTACTAGCAGTTAACTGACATGCCAGCTCCAGACTTCAATTAAACTGATTGAAAGATTATGTCTTCATCATATGAATATCAGGCACAATCCTTCCCGTTAGGGGTTTAGTATCATACCATCATAACATATATGAGAAGAACATAACCCGTGTCATGCCAACAACAAAGTATATATGTTATAGTTACTGTTTATACTTTTTTTCATTGCTTATGAATCTAATGTAAGATAAATGTCCTTATTGTTTAGATAAGCACATTTCACGGTCTAATTGGTGGCTGTTTACCCCTTAATTTGAATAAAATACTATTTGATATGTTTTTCATGTTAGTAGAAATATATATCTATGGTTGAGAAAAATCCCTTTAATTCTATTTATAGCAATTTTAGTAATTGTATTTTCCGAAAATATGAGTGCATATCATGTCAGTATAACAGATCCAATTTCTGTTCAATGCGTCGTCATCATTCTAGTGCTTCAAAAGCACGTTTGCACTGAAATGGGAGTATGTGTTCTTTCTCGTTAATTGTTAAAATCTTGAAATTTTTAATTCAAATATAAAGGACATAGGCCACTGTGTATATCCTTAGGACCAAGTAATTCTAATTCAGCTTTTATTTATAATATTTCAGCAAAACATTGATTTTTAAACATTTTTAGTACAACTTCCAAATTTCAGATTGGCATGACGCCGGAAACTCTCTAAATACAATTTTATTACTCTAATTTAATACCTGACGAATTCTAGGTGAGTGCTGAGCCTGCATCAATTCACATAAAATTAACGAAAGTGTCTACCTGATAAAAAGGACACGAATTTGATTTGAATGAGCAAAGAGCCACAGATTTTAGTGTCATGACGTCGTTGGACACAGATCGAAGGAAAGGACACAGATTTGAGGTTGGACATATATTTGAAGCTTATGAGTTTAATTATGAAATGTCCTGCTTGGTTACTATACATTAATTTGTTGTCAGATATATGCATATATATATATATATATATATGCACCTTTTGTTTGCGGTATACCATCTTTTCCGCAAGTTTATTGTTTTCTGTTTGGTATTAGATTATTAATTTTTAAAGATCCATTTTGTTACATCTTGTGATCCGTTTATTTGGCAATCGCCAATGGCAGTCAGCAGGGTTTAAGAACATCAGTTGTTCGACCTGTTAGTCAAATGCGTTTTGTTAAAATATACTTTTTCACTTTTTTGGTCTTTCGGAAAGTGTTGTTTGTGCTGTATTTAGACCCCTCTACCAAGAAATTTGTTTTGCATGCACACGTATAAAAATTGCGGTTTTTATCCAACGCAATCATAGGTTTGAACGTCGTTTTCAATTTAGACTTGTTTATATTTTTTCGTTTGGGCTTGTATTATATTTTCCTTCGGGTTTATATGATCCGTTCATCCTATTTCGACTCTTTAAAATTCAAGAGTCTATCCTAAATTGAGGTAAATTTTATGGCCTTCCAAATACTGTTTCGATCCCTAACATCACTGAAGAGACATTAATTGTCGAAATCCGGATATGGTGTACTAATTTTTGCACCTTTTGTTTGCGGTATACCACCTTTTCCGCAAGTTTATTGTTTTCTGTTTGGTATTAGATTATTAATTTTTAAGGATCCATTTTGTTACATCTTGTGATCCGTTTATTTGGCAATCGCCAATGGCAGTCAGCAGGGTTTAAGAACATCAGTTGTTCGACCTGTTAGTCAAATGCGTTTTGTTAAAATATACTTTTTCACTTTTTTGGTCTTTTGGAAAATGTTGTTTGTGCTGTATTTAGACCCCTCTACCAAGAAATTTGTTTTGCATGCACACGTATAAAAATTGCGGTTTTTATCCAACGCAATCATAGGTTTGAACGTCGTTTTCAATTTAGACTTGTTTATATATATATATATATATATATATATATATATAATCAAGTCTATATAAATATATATATAAAGTGCATAGAAAATCAACCTAACGATGTTAGAGTAGATCTGTTTCTTTACTTCCTCCCCGAGCGGGGCTTGAACCTGTACTTTATATTTCTAATTTCTACGACAACACCGCCTAGCATTGCGCAGATACCTTATCCCCTCCTCTAAGTATAGCTGATCAAAATCAGCTTTCGTTTCGGTAGGTGTTACCTTCTCGTAGGAATTAAACAAGGATATCTGATACAATACACGAAGTATTCTTTTATATATATATATATAATTTGTCAAATTTCTGTTTTGTAAGATACTTCTAAAAACTTACTGTAGGAATCATGCCATTACAATAAATAGTTATGAAATCATAAAAAGTCAACAACGATTTTGTTAACTCCGTAAGCATTTTCCTTGCAATTCACACATGCTATTAATAGTTGTCTGGGTAAAAACAGTATACATATATATTCATTACATCATTCTGATATGGGGACTGATAAATATAGAATATTATGGAATTACTTAAGCTAATTATAGACAGAGATATAAAATTTCCAAAATGTTGAAATCGAATACATTTTCAAGATCGAAATGTCAGAAGGATTATTTCGAAGTAAACAATATGAATGATAATATGTGTGTCATTGTTAGTGAGTGAACTAAATTATTGATTTTTCATTTTTAAACCATATATAGATATAAGAAGATGTGGTATGAGTGCCAATGAGACAACTCTCCATCCAAGTCAAAATTTATAAAAGTAAACCATTATAGGTCAAAGTACGGTCTTCAACAGTAAGCTATAAATTAAGGGCCCCAAAAATTACTAGTGTAAAACCGTTCAAACGGGAAAACCAACGGTCTAATCTATAAAAAACGAGAAACGAGAAACACTTAAGAACCACACCAACAAACGACAACTACTAAACATCAGATTCCTGAATTAGGACAGGTGCAAACAAATGCAGCGGGTTTAAACGTTTTAATGTTACCAAACCTTCACCCTTTTTCTGAAACAAAAGTGTAACATAACAACATAGAAAGACACACTATAAAATATCAACTGAAATAGCTTAACTCAATCAAAGGACATATTAACACCAGTAAACATACACTGAACAAATAAATTTGACCTATGATACAATGTGCATTATAAATACAAAATAATTAAACTAAGGGAAGAATGATAATAGTAACATGTTATATCGGTATGAAATGTTAAACAATTTAAGAAAAACAATATGCTCGAACAAAAAATATCAGCCATTTGCAATAACTTTAAACACAGGTAAATGAAAATAATTTTGTTGTTAGGTATACGTGTACAGTTCCAATAGAGAAAGGAAATATTTTTACAAAATAAATAATTTTGATGTTCATAGTACGAAGTGAAAATTTATAGTAATACCAAACACAGTCAAAACTGGTATATAGACTAGATATAACCCTGAATAACATTAAATAATAAAAAAGCATTACAATTAGTATCAACAGGTCAAATAAACAAGAAAGTACGATGTGAGAGTACTCGCAGTTACTAACAGCTACTTAAAAGCCATATACATATTTATATATCATGTAAGAATAAACCAGAATATTTACCCCATTGTTTAATTGTCTGTACGCATGTGAGCATGATGAGTTATTATAGGAAAAAAGGCATTCAGTTTATATATGCAAAACATGTATTTACATGCGTTTGTACAAACACATATTATACACCTACTATAAGTATTATGTAAGCAGGAATTTAATGGGCAACGGACATTAACGGATGTGAGAACGAATCATACGGTATAGCTCACACGAGGTGTATTCCCAAATTTAAAAATCCTTAATCATATTAATTTCCTGAGAAAAATGTGACGAAAATTCAATTCATGATAATCGTATGTATGAATATTATCAGGAAGTGGATTAACGATGAATATGAAAATGCATCACACAGAATATCATGCACGCGGAAGGAAGAACATACTTAAACATGTTAAACCAGTACCATATCAGCTCCATTCGGTTTTGACATACTTGTTATACAATACAGTAGTAGTATAATATCAGTCAATAATGTAATTTCTTCTATTTGATTGCAGTGGATACCAAAATTACAAATTTCTTTTTGGATAGAGTTCAGTTTAATATGTTATATTTATGTTTATAGACAAATCTATTTATAGTTTGCGTTAAATTACTCTTATGCTATTTATAGTATTTGTTGTAATGGTCTTATTTTATGATTTTACAAAAATACAACTTTCTTTTTCATAACCGTATAAAAGCTGCAAACTTTGTTCTTATATACTCATTGTATGATTATATAGCTTCCTCTAACAGTAAGTATTTTTCTGCATTAATAATCAAAAATATTTTACTGACAAAATGGAGATAATAATGTGTTTTACACATTCATTCTTTTGTTACAAAACGATTACGTTTTATCACATTGATAAATTTCGACTGACAACAAGATAAATGAAAAGCAAATATCCGAATATTGTCTATAATGTTGATCTTATCAAACCTTGTAACTTGGTTCTGGTACTTGATATTCATTGAATATGGCAATGCAAATGCAAAATCTGTCATTTTTATGGGGAGAGGGAAGGTTTTGTTGTTGCTGTTGTTTTCAAGTCTTAATTTCGTTATTGTTCTGGCTTTTTTCTATATATCTGATTTTGTTGGGGTTTTCCCCGTGAATTCACGATTAACGCTTAGCAGCGGAAAATTGTACATTTGCGGGAACTATTATCCAAAAGAGGCAAACAAAGATAGTCAGAACTGTCTTACACCAGATCATACTTATACCGTTTGCGTATTTATTATAACCCATCCTGACAGATGCAGAAACATTCTCTTCTAGTCGGGTACTTGTAATAGAAAAACAAAGGATATGGGGTATCAATCCATGACACAAAATCAATACATGCACAGCAACAAACAAAAACAACACAAAAAGCATAGGAACAGCGCTTTTATTGCTGTTCTTCATCTCAATGTCACAGTGGGGTTTTCAACACGGAGCAAAAAAAAAAAAAAAAAAAAACTCATAAAACTGTGTCATAAAATCGAAATTCCTATTTAATATCAGTTCTATATGCAGTAAGTATATTGGATTATTATTTCCACTGGCAGAAATATAACAAAGGGAGTATAGAGTTTTTTTCCAACAGGAAAAATATAGTATATAACTGTTTATATCGGTTTTGTTCATTGTTGAAGGCCATGTGGTGAACTATATTTGCTTACATCCAGTTTATTTGAACTCTGGTGGATAGTTGTTTAATTAGCAATCAATCCATATTTCCCTAATTCAATATATTTATAACAAATTTCCAGCGGAACTTCTGTTAGGAGAAACAAATATACGCTGACAACTCTAGCGTGGTGCAATTTGATACGTACACTTTAATTGTTATCTTTGATCATGTTGATTGAATTATCTTGTACGAACTACATCAGACGATGTGACGACCCCCGAATCAGCGCACTTAAGCAGCTGAACTTTAGGAGACAGCAAACTTCTTTCATGATATAAATTCTCGTTTTTTCTTTCAATAATGTAGCAAAATAAATATTGCAATTTTTTACCCTTTCTTTGATAGTATTATTTAATAGCTAAAAATATAATAAAAATATAGATAAATCGTGAACTCATTTTAGTTTATCAAAAGTCTGATATCCAGAAAACTGCATTTTACGCAAATGACTTCATCGAATTAGGTCTATACTTACATAACTTATGGAATTGTAGATATTCTGAAAGTATTTTAAAAAACACGAATGAGTTCATTTTAGACGTAAAAGCTCAATAGTCTAAAAATAGTTAATATTCCCATACAGCATGTATAAATAACCGATCCATAATGATTTTTTACCTAGCTTTTAACATTTCATGTGACGTTAACTCATACCATATTTAAAGGTTTGATCTTGATAATTATGAAACATCAGGATAAAAGAGCAAACCAGATATCTATAACGTTCTTGTTTGTTTTCACTAATACGAAAATAAATTACTTTACTGGTTTATTAAACAATCAAACAAATGTGTATATCAATAGAAGGAGTAACTAAGATAAGAAGAAGAGGAATTTTTATTCTACAAATTAGGGCCCAAGAAGGGCATATAACACATAAACCATGTGATTAGAAAATATGCAGAATAATCAAATATTCAATCTAAGAAATAGACATATAATAGGGAAAAACAACGGCGTTTTAAAAATATATGTTTATGCAATGACTTCGATTGTCCTAATCATGTACATAGAATGACAATAAAAACATTGCTACCATCGACATTTAAACTTAAGGAAATATGTAAGGAATAATCTATATATTCATTCTCATAATTTCGATTTTTATGAAATCCGAAGTAAACTGATTTTGAATATTTATCCAAAAAAGTGTATGAGAAGTACTTCTTAGCCAAAACCAAAAGTCTGTGGAAAGTAAAGCTTCATAAAGTCTTTCGGATACAAATGAATTTTTTGTGGTGAGAGACGTCCTTCGATGCAAAATTATACATTAACGTGTTAAATTTGCGATATTCCTTCAATAGAAATATGAAGTGTTGAAACAAATACATTTGTTATATCATTATTCGAATGCATTTAGGTTTTGATAATTTTCTGATTTTGATCCCGTCAATGAAAAAAAATACAGGAAATTTGTCCTACCTCTTTGCCTTTTTGATTGATATTTTCACCCTTTTTGTAGCAGAGCAAAATAAACATTAAGGAGCAATTATTTTTCTTAGCATGCGTCTGACAACTTTGGTACAACGGTAATATAGGTAACGTGAGGGTACTCAAATTACACATATTTTGACAGTTTTTTCACCTACGTTCATTTATGATCCAGATAAAAATGTCCATTCTGTGTTTATTTTGTAGATGTATCCTTATTTACTATATAGTTCCACCAATTTAATTGAATCCGTATTGAATCATAGAAAAATGGGTTTGAACCGACCTCCAAACGATCCATGATTCTGTAATGAGGAGTACCCAAATTGCATCCATGCTTAAATTTACATCCTTAAAAATCGATTAACCGATGTTTTGTTTTATTTCTTCAAATATTTAGAATAATTTGACATTAGTCCATGCTTACTATTAATTTTTTTTCAAGAAATGGATGCTCGTAACATATTTTATTTGCTCATTTTTAAAAGATGAATTTTTGTTGCCGTCGCATTGTGACGTTTCCGTAGATTTTAATTTTCCAGTGAATACTTCATCTGTTGATATATACTGTGAACGTTTTGTGAATATTTAAATATTATTTACCTATTTGAAAGACGTGCATTATGTCAAATGATAAAATACAAATTGTTTAGTCCCTAAGAAAACTTGCAAGATTTTCGCTGCTACTTTTGGTAAATAGGTGCAATTTGTGTACTCGGTGCAATTTGGGTACTGTGACGTTATATTTTGTGTATGTGTCATAAATGAGAAAAATGATTGGAAAATGCGACGGTATCCGATTTTAAAGTACAGGTCAGCATTGTTTTTAATTTACCATCATACAGGTGGTTTCGATCATTGATAAGCAGACATTTCGATCCAAATATATAGTTACTTTGTTATTTTGCGTGTAAAAGTGTCAGTGGAAAATAGGTTTGTGAATTTATGCACACATCAAATGCACATTGAAGAGTTTTCATTTTGTTGCAGCTATTGATGATATTTTAAGCCATGATTTATCATTCTTTTAGACTTGTCAAAATGGGCATAATATCATCATCCACACGGAGTATTGAACAGGACCGTTCAGATATCCAGAGAATGTTTGCGGCAGCAAAACTGGGGAATTGGGGAGAAGTGTGGCGAATTTTAGGGACCCCAGGTAGACCACTGAAACCATATCTCATAAACCTAGTCCCAGAGGACAGAAGATGGGGTTTACTACAACAGGCTGTTTGGTGGAACAATCACGCCGCAATAAGAACTCTACTTCAGTTTCAAGCATGTGACAAAACATTAAAGGCAAAGGATGGCATTTCCGAGAAAGGACCAACGGGTGGCAATACAGCACAGCAAATAGCTGATTTGTTTGGATATTTAGAGGCTTCGAAGATCATTCAGAACCACATCACTCCTGAAAGTGAGGAGGACATCGAAACATACTACGATGGGAATAGCTCTATCGAAAATGAAGAATATGGTCTATTCAGACTTACATTGGCGGCGTACAAAGGCGCTTTTCATCCGTCTTATGTCGACAAAACGAAACAACTTCCAGTTTTATTGAATGATGTTTTTAAGCATGTCAATACAGGTAAAAACTGGATAGCTGTTAGGGATAAAGTTTCACAGTCACTTTATCCAGCATGTAAGGAGGCAAGCAACGTGGTTAGTCAATGTACCACCAAATTAGACTTTTACAAGATGATTGTTAATGTATATACCGACGAAACAACCCAATTATATACGTACCTCAACACAGCGTTGAGGCGACAACGGGATACAGGCTTCAAACCTACAGCAAATGATCTAGCGCTCGGACCATATATTCTAATGTTCCATCTACTTCTGTTTTGCTGGAGAAATTTGGTCAGAGAAAAAACAAAAACACATCGCAAAATGAAGGTTTCTGCGAGAGATCTAGCAAAGTACCAACCAGGAACAAAGTTTACGTGGTTATCATTTGTTTCATCCTCTGTTCAACAACAATGTGCTCAGATTTTTCCGTCGTGTGCACCAAGTGGCGACCTGGAAGTGCATTTCATTATTGACAACTCTGGTGATTCGCAGTGGCAACCGCTGAACATTGAGGATTATGCCTGCTACACAGAAAAGGAAAGAGTTTACCCAGCAGGAGCACAATTCTTAGTTAAAGGACGTTCAACTAAAACTGGAGTGCCGACAATTCAGCTGAAACTCTTAGGAAGCGAATAGAATAAATTAATCATTTCGATTAAACTAGTATTGATGCTTATTAGATGTTCAGAGAATATGATTATTATTTGTCTGATTTAGTAAATAATGGGATTTATTATAACGTCAATTACTATCTTGGGTACAAACCTGGAGTCGGTTTCAAAAAAAAACTTACGACTAAGATTAATCGTAAGTATAATGAATTGTTCATGACTAACAATTAATTTTAGTCGTAAGTTTTTTTGTGAAACGGACTCCTGTCATGATATGTTTAAGTATTTAGGTATATAAACATTTCAAAAGGGATTCGTAGGAAAAAAAATTAATAATGTTTTATAGAAACTAAGTACATAATTCCCCAAGCAATGCGGACTTCATTCTATTTCCTACTCTTCAAAGGGGACAACCATTTGATGTTCTGGAGGGACTTTACTCCCTATCAAACCTTTATCTCCTATAATTGCGAGGATTATTTATTATCTTTTGAGACAATGGAGTTTTTGATGAAGATTATTTTTTCAAGCTCGCATTGAAAATATTTAATTTTTAATTTTTTGCCAGTTGCAGTGTTTGGTCATTATTTTCAACTATAAACGCAAATGGTCGTCCCATTAGAACCCTTTTAAAGACTATTGAATTCACAATTATTTTACTGGCTCTGCCAATGCCAATCATTGGACATTTACCTATATACACCAAGCATCTATGCATTTTGATGAACTCTCAATTCCAAAATATAGCATTAAAACTTTAGATTTTAATTTTTAGAAATTATTGAGCATTAAAATTTTAAGATTTTAGATTTTAATTTTTATAAATTATTGAACATTAAAATTTTAGATTTTAATTTTTTAGAAATTATTGAGCGTAAAACATTTACAATTTAAGCTCTTTTTTGGTGGTTACAGGGCTCTCATTTTTAGAATGGTTTCAAATCCCACACTTAATGCGCAGAAAATTTGAAATTAGATAAAGATTCCAAATGCCGGAGCAGAATTTGACAAATTATGTTGTGAAATCCTCTTTTGTGTTGTGATTTTATCATTATAAGTGTACATTGTCTGTCTATATAGAATTGAGGTAACAAATAACTGTTTATATATGTATTTTAACCTCGTCCTTTTAATTTATCTGTAGAGATTATATGTTTTATATATATTTATATAAGCTTTATCTTTTGTTTAGATGTGTAGTGTAATTTTATTTTATTTTTTTGAAAATAAAAGGTCTGAAATGTCAGACAGCCAATTAAAGAATGTTATAACCATCAGTATGAAATGTTTTTCTTTATATACTGTTAATAATTAGAATTTTACTATAAAAAAATTGAAAAGAGGTGCAATATAATTTAAAACATGTGAACATTTGATTCCAAATTAAAAAAGTAAATATGTTTTTAAATTTGATTTCTGTGTATGTGCTATTTCAATAGTAATTTTTATACATATATTAAATCGACGATTTCGAATAAAACAATACTTATAAATGAAAAAAAAATAATGTCTTGTCTTGTGGATACTTGAACGATTGTTATTGGTAGATTTAGAACAGGGGAGATAAAATTATGGTAACTTTTTCCAGTTTGCATCTATTGTAATCAATCCAGACAGCTATATGTCAGCTCAAATTAGATGAACACGAGTGCGAGCGATTGATGCTTCAGCGGTCCACCTAATTCCACAAGGCTAGTTGTGACTGGTTCTTGCACTTCTTCGCAATGAATATTTACATACCATAACAGACACTGTGCGTAGCTCAGACATCTTAGAAGCAAGAGCTACGTACTGTTCTAGATATTTTATGGCTCTCTACCCTTTCATCTTTTAATATACATGTATGTTGGCAATTGTGTTCCGTCCTCCAATTTTCCTTTTGTATCTTAGACCTCTACTTATTAAATACTTGTTCATCGGACTTTTATGTACAAAATTGGATCGAGCTATCGAAATATTTGTTTTAATTTTTTTTTCCTAATTCAGTATTTAAGCAAGCGAAACTTAAAATTTGTTGAAAGGAGGAGTACTTTTAATTATATTCTACAACATTTCTATTTTCAAGATAAGTGATTTTTAACACCAAAAAAATCAAATTTTCTGTGAATTATGGAGCGAGCGATGACATTTTAAAATTAAATTGTTGACATAATTTAAATGGAGCGATAATTCAGTATGATTCAGGTAAAAGCGGTAAACAAATTTGGGTTTCCAAAATTTTAGGACGAGCGAATCTGTATATCAATGGATTAATTTGCAGTGATCTTATTATTCTTTTATCAAGTTTGGCTTTGGTTGAAAAATCACAAAAGTGAACGTACTGTAGTCTAGACGATGCGTAGTTGATCATTACTAAATAAGTTGAAATATTTTAACATCAAGGTCAAATCAGCGGGGCTATAGATATCACGGTACCAATTTACTGCTCCAAAAGCGCATTTCAACAAAATTGTCTCTTAAGTGATTCTCGGGGCCAAAAAAAAAAGTTAAAACTGGCTAATAAAATTTAAAAAAAAACTAACATGGACAGAACAGTAGTTTACCGATGTTGAAATCTCGTAAATCTATTTAGAATTTACAAATCAAGGGGAAATACATCACATGAACTCCAAACGGAAAGACGCCAGATATGCTAGTATCATCCGCCTTGTGAATCCACACTCAATGAAAATGTTACAATAGTAAATAAAAACAATGGGTAATTTACAGATCAAACGAATATTTTGTTATCTAAAAATCGAATACCGCGAAAAAATGTAGTTGATGAGTTGAGACATGACGCCTTGGGTAACCAATCCGTGATGGTAACATTAAACTTTATATTTTCTGGTGGGTTTGAACCCACCCCTACTGAAAAATTGTCATTTTCAGTCTATTTTTCGATTTTAATACGACCTTGAGAGGTGAACAATGACTTAACTGTGTTTCTTTGTCATTCAAGTATTACCTTACAGTTACAGCAGTCTATCCAAGCTGACTGGAAGTAAATGTGACTTGAGAATCTTGCTGGGGAATTAATATTGGCTAGCCAATGAGCCTAAATGTCCGTTTTTACCGATTTATGACAAAACGGTGACCTAGATTTTACAGACCAGATTTCTTTTGGCCATATTATACCTCCTTGTGTTCCTGTACTATCTATGCATGTATTTATAATACTAGTTGATACCTACAGCCCATACCAGTAACGTAGTGGTCATAAAAAGACTGCCACCCCCACCTGATTTTGGCTACTTTTCACGTTTTTCCGATTTTGAACTCTAAAAAGGCCATTAAAGTTGCCATTATTTCATAATCACACATCTGAGAAGAGTTTATGGACCATGAATTGCATGGTTGAAGTCCCTGCTGTAAAGACAGATGGGCTGGGGCAGTTCTAAAAAAGTATGGAGGGTCATACAGGCCATCATAGAGTGGTGGTCGCTATCACGACTACAGGCGGGATTGGGGGCGAAGGGGTTAAATAAGATATGCTGCACCATCTGTAATAAATGATTGGAAAATGACAAGAAATTTTGTAGCATATGTTGTTATCAAATAGTTCGTTTCTATTTATGTTGGCATTTGTTTTTGTTGCACTTCAGTGTTCCTGTTGTTCCTTTGTTTTCCTCTTATAGTTGATGTTTCCCTCGGTTTAGTTTGTAAACGGGATTTGTTTTCTCTCAATCGATTTATGACTTTTGAACAAGGTATACTACTGTTGCCTTTATTTAAGGGTTTTAGCCACAATATCTTTGAAAGTTAGGAAGAACAATAGTCGTGTTTTATTTAACTGCAATTAACTCCTGAAAGTCTGCATGTTAGTTTATCTACATAGCATCTGGTCAGTGATACGGTTTCCTTCTACAGCAAATATACCACTTAGAATTGCTTTCTCTTCACAAATACTGGAAACATACAATATATGTGTTTTCTGTGTGCACAACATGTACTTTTGGAACACCATTCACTTGGCACACTTGTCAGCAAAGATTACAAGGACAAATATAATAATAACAATATCCCAAATCACCTGAGGTCAGCCTTATCTGACTGATTAGCAACCTCTCAAGTTTTAGCTACAGTATATATATATATGTTCAGCGCAAGTGGAAGATAGAAATAATGTATGCCGTCAGAGGGTTTTCAGTATAAACCAAGACATATATGATTGTTAAGAAAAAAACAGCCATCGATTTCAAGGTTCTTAGTAATAAAGAGACGAACAATGTTGTTACAATTAATGTGTATTATTAAATTTTTCATTCTTATTCATTTGAAAATACAGTCATTTAAAAAGTTAAATATCTTGTCTAACTGACTAATCACATTGGTATTCAATAATACCATATTTAACAAACTACCCACACTAGTTTCAATGACGTATTTGTATATATGTAGTTATTTCTGCATAAAGAATCCTCAAATTTCTACCAGTTTTGTACACATTTATGACTCATCACTTTATAAAAGCTTCTGCAACAAATCTGTTTTAGCACCAAAACACTATTTAAAATAAGAAATTAGTACAAAGCCAGTCATAATATCTTTTTCTGTGTGAATCAATAGAGTTATGTAAATATAACACCTTTACGGATGATGACATTGGTAAGTAACAGTCTACAAATTCCTGGTCAAGGTACCATATCTTAAGTCTATTACACCACAAGAATTCATCAAACTTTCAAGTTTAAAACTGCAAAAATTATTTCAAATTGTGCTACAATAAAGTTTACAAATGGTATTAAACAAAGAATTGAAGTATGAGGAATACCAAATCATGAATTCCAGCTCAGACACATGACCTTTTATCACAAGTGGTTTTTTGAAACTATTGTAAAACAAACATTGCAAGGTTTAAATGTATCCCTTTGTTTTTAAATACAAACATAAATTTATTATAGAAAGCTTCTTCTGTATTGTTTTATTAGGCACTTAACATAGTTACTTAAGCTTTGTTAGTGTTGTTATTAATGTATCTACAAGATTTTAAACTTGTTTCTAATGCACTCTATTAATCAACTCTAAAATTATAATTTGTACTAAGTCATTTCTCTTGTGATGTAGTACCATTCAAATACAAATTAGACCAACAGAAAATTATCAAGTACTTTAATACACATATTCAACTTATAATTGAGTTTAATTACTGTGGATTCTTTATTATTCGTGAGATACCCATTTTCATGGATTTCATTGGTACAGGTGAACAATAGCGAAGTGCAAAATTTCTATTGCCTTTATTCAGAATTTTGCAAAACCACAAAATAAAATATCCACGAAAATAAAATTTTCCTTTTCCGTAAAAAATAGGTACACACGAAAATAAATGAATCCACAGTATTACAAGTATGATTGGAATATTATAAGTAGTCCTTTGTTTATATAAAACAAATATTTCAAGAACATCTGGGATTTGAACATCAAGTATTTGAACAGCCAATCTGATTTTTCCATTTCTGTAAACAACTACAATCAATGTCAGAATGCCAAATGAAAGTGAAAATTTATCATTCTGAAAATGACTTCCTGTAGTGTCCACAGGGCAAAAATTTCTGCTTATTTTTAATCATTTTTCGAATTTTGATATACACACTTATCATACAATGTGGTCAGTATTAAAAATAAAACCAGAAATCATCAGAAATTTAGTCAATTCTGTGAATTTGAGTGAGAGGATGAGCTTGGGGACTTCAGATAATAAGGCATTGGGTTAGTGTACATAGTCAACTATTTCCTTGATGTACTTTCTAACAATGCAAAAGAAATTTAAACAATCATTTTAACTGGTAATAAATGCTGAGGATACAAAATAAATAGTATATTAATAGCTGCAATACCAAACAGTCCAATGTACTATTAACAGAAATTTGGTTTGGCTGTATTACTTTAGATAAAAGCAAAATACAGATATAAATAAAATAATTCATGACAGGTAATGTTGCACTTATATTTGATCATATAACAAGTGGTATCTATTTACATGGCATATTCATGGAGTTGTAGTACTGATATAATATAAGAACCAGAATCAGCAGGGTCATACTTAAATCATGATTATATTCTAATGTAAACTTACAATCAACCAGTACCTTAACAGTGTGTAGTGATAAAAAAAATGATACTGGTTTCCCATTAAATTTACTCTAAATTAAATTTTAAAATTCTAAATTCTCACTTTTACAAAGATTCAAGACATTCTTGGTGCATATATTCTAGGTTGCCAGTTAACACAAGAATTTTATATAGTGTTACTTTAATTTTAAGTTGTATAACTGACTGGATTGTTTTCCAACTTGGGTCATAAACTGGTGTTCTTTTACCATAATACATTATTCATCTTAAGATATATAATGTAATACATAAGTCGTAATTGGTTATAAAGGCCAAAACAAAAAATTCCTAGATTCTCATCCAACTTTTGATAAAGTGGGCTAGTCAAGCAAATTCTGTTTACAATTTTATGTCATAAGTTTTTTTATATTAAACCTCTCTAGCAAAATAAAAGAAAAGGAACATAAAGAATGTGTTGCTCTAAAAGACAAATCAGAACAACAGGGATGACAATCTGAATTTTTATTTCACCATGGCCTTAATAACATGAAAGATGACCTTTTAAAAGGTAATGAAAAAATTTGAGGACAATGTCTATCTCAGCTTATAATGCTGTGAATGTATTTTTGTTTGCTGTGTACAATTTTCATGGATTTCTTGTTCCCCTCAAAATCAAATTTAGTCTCAATAAAATACAAATTTTCAATTGAGTCTTAATTATCATCAATATAAACCCATACAATATTTTAGTAAACAAAGAAATTTTATATTCATGACGAAAATTACTTGCACAGAATTGAATTTACTGGTTGTATCAAGTTGGTAAAGGAGTTTGAGACAGAAAAAAACCTTTCACATGTTTAAAGATTCCCCATTCTCTAATAAACATTTGCTATCATAACATTTAATAAAATAACATTCATTGTTATGAAAATTTTTACATTTGCAGCTTTTCGTAGGTCATTTTAGAAAATTTGAAATGAATTAACTACAAACTAACAGCAGTAATCTAATCATAAAGCAAAAATGGGGAATGATTTGTAGAAAAGCTGCAGTTCTTACTGAGGTAGATTTTTTTCTACAATGTCATCCTGGTTGGTAAATGTGAAGGTTTGACAAATGGATTTATCTTATTTTTGGTCCAAATTAAAAAGTTAACAATTCTGTCATTGACACCTTTTTCATGTATATTTACTTAAAATGTGATGCACATATATAATCTACTTGAATTTTTTTTCATATAAATTTCTGTAACCTTGTAATTTGCTTTGGTGAACATGGCCATAAATATCAAGATGTCATGTCAGTGTGCTGTAGTGTGTTACAATTATTCCAAAAACAACTAAAATAAAAAAACTGGGAAGCGTATGTAAACCTATAAATAAGCAGAAAGAGTATTGGGACAGATGAGGTATATAAAACCTGGCCTAATGGATGGATGTATACAAATATGGGAAATGGGGCTACTGTGAATTTATTGTCATTCATGGGGTACTAATTTTCATGGATTTTGTGGGTAAAGAGAAGAACAAATTTAAGTGTTTCACAAAAAGGCAAATTGTCAAAAAGCTTGTTTACAAATTGTTATAACCATGATAATTTGAGGTCTAGGTATCCAGGAAAATGCAACCTTTCTTCAATTTATGAAAAACATTAACAGATGAAAAAAAAACAATCCATAGCATTTGTCTTTGGATCAAATAATGTTATTATATTTTCTAATAACTGTAACGTTGTTTTGTACGCGACGTCATAGATAAGTACTTTCAATCTAAAATTTAACAGCAAAAGACAATCATGATAGAACATTCAGTATAATAAATTAAATAACACATAGATGAGAGGGTGATAGAGCAGATTGGTACCCCTCTAAAAAGCATGGTCAACCCCCGGCTTCGCCTCAGTTGACAATGTTTTTCAGGGTAACAATCTGCTCTATCACCCTTTCAGCTATGTGTTATTTATATAATGGCAAATTGTCTTCTTAAATTGATTTTTTTTTTTTAAAGTGCCTTCCATGTCCCCCATGCATTTAATTTTGGATCAACCCCTAACAAAAAGACCAAATAAATTAGGCATAACATTACAGCATTTGAACCAGCAAATTTCTATGTTATAAATCTGAATAACAAGCTCTTCTTAAATATACTTTCTAAAAATCATTCTTTGAATGAGTTTACGATAGGGGGCTTCATTACTTATCATGGTTACATGTGTAAAACAGAGGTTCTGATGAATCCACAGAACCAAACAAAAAAAAGTTCTTTCTAAAATTCTTATTTACACATTAATGAGCCCATAAACATGTTTTAATATGGATTCGTTGATTTTACTGGGTACCAATTTTTGTGGATTGCGAAAAAATTGCATTTTCCGAGTTTTGACATATTTTGCATACAAGCATCATTTTTTAATATTTGTGGATCACAAATTTCCATAATAACTTCTGGTATCCCACACATAATAATAAATTGACAGTACATAGTTATGACTATAACCTACATGAAAGGCTTGTGTACATTTTTAACAAACATTATAGCCCATGACCACAATCAATTGGCATACTCCAAATATTTAAGTATTTCTCGTGGATTCTTCTTAAAACCGAAGGAGAACAAAATATTTAATAGAGTCTTTAATACTAAGTGCTTTTCCTTTATATAGAATAACCCTTCATGTCTTGTTTCATTTCTAATATTTTTTTCAGAAGCTTAAATACACATGTACAATATACTTATATAGAAAGACAGAGAGTATCTTATATATTCCTGATTATCAGTAAGTAATAAAATCTCAGAAAGAGGCTCGTGTCATCCTTTGTCAAACAACCTTGTTCACTCCATGCCCTAACCCTGATTGTTATTGGTGCGACAGAATAAGAAGTTTGACAAAGGAAAGACACAGGCCTGTATTTCAGAGATTAAATAAAATGCTGCAAATGATGAAAAACAAGACATAGCATGTTTGTTATACATGTTTTTTTTACAACGAGTAGCACCAAAGGTGTTTCTAACTAAAATAATATATAACACTGTTGCTAAGTTTTCACCTGGATTATTAGACTGTGGGATTATGGGATTGATATTACAGCATGACAAAATGATCATGTGACACATGGTAACATAAATGACACTGAAGTAATAGTTGTACAGTGCTCCATTGTCATACCAGTGAATTTTAGGTGTTTTTTTTTTTCATTTCAATTTCATACAAACTCAAAGGTTAAAAGTTAAGAAATATCCTATATTTTTATATGCTACATATTTTTGTCCAATGATTCACATAATTAATATGGCTTCCAATAACAAAAAGTTCCATTTGGAGCTACTGTGTTTAGAGACCTTTTATGTCAGTATATCTTTACTATATTACTCATTAATAAAATGCTCCGCAGGGCGCAGCTTGATACGACCGCAGAGGTCGAACCCTGAACAGTTGGGGCAAGTATGGACACAACATTCAAGCTTGATACAGCTCTGAATTTGGATTGTGATTAAATATTTGACACAGCATAGGTTTCTGACACAGAATGAATGTGGTCTAAGAACTTAAAAATTTTAAATTGGACATTCACCTATTATGGTCCAATATCCAAAATCTAAATACATGGTTAGATTCAGCATATCAAAGAACCCCAAGAATTCAATTTTTGATGAAATCAAACAAAGTTTAATTTTGGACCCTTTTGACCTCAATGTGGACAAAGTTGATAACGGGGCCCAAAAATCAAAAATCTAAATACATGGTTAGATTCAGCATATCAAAGAACCCCATATATTCAATTTTTGTTGAAATCAAACAAAGTTTAATTTTGGACCCCGATTTGGACCATCTTGAAAACTGGGCCCATAATCAAAAATCTAAATACATGTTTAGATTCAGCATATCAAAGAACCCTAAAAATTCAATTTTTGTTAAAATCAAACTAAGTTTAATTTTGGACCTTTTGGACCTTAATGTAGACCAATTTGAAAACGGAACCAAAAATTAAGAATCTAAATACACGGTTAGATTCGGCATATCAAACAACCCCAATAATTCAATTTTTGATGAAATCAAACAAAGTTAAATTTTGGACCCTTTGGACCTCAATGTGGACCAATTAAAAAACCGGTCCCAAAATCCAAAAACTTAATACACAGTTAGATTCCGCATATTAAAGAACCCCAAGAATTCAAGAATAAAACCCCATTGAAATTGATCAAGAAATAAGCAATTTATACGAAGTATCTTCTTTTGCACAATACTGTGCAATTGAATATTTCTTGCTATTGCGCAATACTGTACAATTGACAATTTCTTGCTATTGCGCAATATTGTGCTATTAGATATTTCTTGCTATTGCGCAATACTGTGCAATTGAAGATTTCTTGCTATTGCGCAATACTGTGCAATTGAAGATTTCTTGCTATTGTGCAATACTGTGCTATTGAAAATTTCTTGCTATTGCACAATACTTATTATATAATAATTTACACATCCTGTTTAGTGTGTATCTCCTACCATATCATTATTATTTGCTTTTAAATATAAATCAGAAATAACCAACTTAAAATGGAAAATTTTAAAAGAAAAAAAATCCCCCCCCCCAAATTTTTTGAACCCCCTTATGATTCATCACCCCCAAACTCAATCCCAGCCTTCCCTTTGTGGTATGGTACCTTGCAGTACAATTTCAGAGAGATCCATACACTTGAACACAAGTTATTGTCTGGAAACTAGAAAAATGCATTTTTTTTGCCCCTTTTTGGCCCCCAATTCCTAAACGTTTCGGACAATTACCCCCAAACTCAATTCCAGCTTTCCCTTTGTGATATGGAACCTTGTAGTACAATTTCAGAAATATCCAAACACTTACACACAAGTTATTGTCATGAAACTAGAAAAATGCTTGTTTTTTGCCCCTTTTTTGGCCCCTTATTCCTAAAATTTTGAGGCAATTACCCCCAAAATCAATTACAGCCTTCCCTTTGTGATATGGAACCTTGTGGTACAATGTCAGAGAGATCCATACACTAACACACACGTTATTGTCTGGAAGTTACAAAAATGCTTATTTTTGGCCCCTTTTTGGCCCCTAATTCCTTAACTGTTGGTACCATAACCCCCAAAATCAATCCCAGCCTTCCTTTCGTGGTATTGAACCTTATGGTAAAATTTCATGGAGATCCATTCTCTTAAACTAAAGTTAGAGTGCAAAAACCAATGTGTCTTCGGACGACGCCGGACGACACCAGACGACGACAACGACGACGACACCAACGTCATACCAATATACGACCAAAAAATTTTTAATTTTTGCGGTCGTATAAAAATTAGAAATCGTTAGAAATCAATAACAAATATACAGAAAAATTACTTCAAAAACATGATAAATGGTTATTTGAAAGAAATTTCTGTCACATTTCAATCTCCAGGAATTCCCCTTTCATGATAAAATAGTTCAAACCTGAGTCAGAAAGTCTTTGAAGTATTAGCTTTCTGTTTTCTGTCATGCATAAATTTCCAGGTATATTTACCCACTTTAAAAAAGTTACGCAGAAGAATTGGATAGTGATTGGTGTATTAGTTTACATATGACAAGTATATTAGAGAGGAATCTGTTTAATTGTTCTTATTTTGTAACAAAATGGTATTTTTCATTCCATATGTGTAAGAAATGAAAAACAATGACAGGTGTTCCTTATAGCATAATAACAGAGCACTGCAGTTGGCACTTATATAACAGAAGGTAAACAAAAATTACCAAAATTATAAGGTACAAAAATGTACAGGTACTTTGATTAAAGGTGTATCTTTAAAACTGGTATACAATAGTGGAATTATCTCAAAGCAAAATAAATAAACAGATGAATTTAAATATTTATAAGTGGATGTTATTAAATAATATGCAGTTACTAAAATATACCATATTGTTGAAATCTTAAGAAACTTGGGTTCAAATGTAAATTTCAGACAGGAGCATAGCTTTACTATAATTAAATAAAATAAATATTTTGATACCTTACTTGTGAATTGAATTAGCCATATATAAATCATGACATTGATATATATAAACACACCAAAATCTTTCATTTTCCATTGGAAATATTTAGTAAAATTAATGAACCCAATGGTCAACAATAATCAGCAGTAATTCATAAGATGGTCGGGTTATTGTCTCTTTGACACATTCCCCGTTTCCATTCCCAATTTTATAAGTGTCTTTCCTTGGCTCTTCCTTACAAGTTTTAAGAGACCAGCCATAAAACTTGTACATTTTTTTTCTTGTAAGAACACTTAAACCAGTCCATACTTTCTTTCAACTATACAATTTAATTTTTAATTCTTTGAAGTGGATGGTCAAAGTAATCTGTTTTCAAAATTACATCAGGAAAACTTATGTTATTTTAGGCAGTCTCAATGATGTAACTGTTGTCTCAAAAAGGGAAATTTTAATCTATCCTATCATCAGTTTGTAAAGTCAGATTAACAAAAAAAAAATCAGCATAAAAAATGTCCCAACACTACAGAAAAGCTATGCCCCATATATCAGTATATCATTGTATATCTCTATCCCTTCTTCTAAGTTTTACCTACTCTGTTCAACAGAAATGATATGTCATTTTGATTAACTATACCTCCATGATGTAATTCTATTGTGTGGTTTCTCTCATTCTAATTTTTTAAGTACCATAAATATTAATAATTCTTAGATTATCATATTTTCTAAGTTTCATACAATACAAAATAATATATATATCATAAATTGGTATACACTTAACAAAATAATTAAGCATAGTAAAACATATTTAAGTTACTCAAGTTAGCTTAGAGGGATGCAAGACTACACATTTTTCAAATACTTTTTAATTCATAGGAAGTAAAAAGACAGGACTGGATTATTAAGTTCTTTTTGTATTTCTCATTTGGAATAGTTATTTCACTTTTTAATCTATTTTTATTGTCATATAAACATGATAAAATCATATAAAATAATAACTTAGGAAGTAAATAAAAACATGTGTTTTAAATTCTGATATTCATTGTTATTTGAATGCATCATTTACTGAAACCACAATGATTAAATGGATTAATCTGGCATTTGTGTCCATTCTAAAAAAATCACAATAAATAAAGGCATGCAAAAATTTCAGAATTAACAGAAATTAACATCATTACGACTTCTTATATGAATCTTGCATCCCGCTGTAAGACTTGAAGTGAGATAACTTTAATAATGAAAGCACTTCATCCACAATGAGGAGTATATACTCTCCATTTTAATCACACTTGTAGTTAACTACTCCTGTTCCAAGGCCACTCATTTGGTTGCCTTGGTAACCATCACTGAGGTTCTACCTTCTGCATGGCACTTGAACGTTCAGAATACATGGTTAACATTTTCTATATTAAGCACATTTTTTTGCCTGGAACAGAACCGAACAGTGATGGATTAAGTTATGAAATCCTCTATAAAGGGGAAATTCAGCGAGTGTGTGGTAACTATTGGTGTTCTGAACACCTGAGTAAAACGACGAACATGATGTGGGTTAATCCCGATACGAGGTGGAAGTGAAAGAACTACTACTGTTACTTGGAGTCAGACTTATCATACTTCCACGTAAACTAACATCGTCATCATAATTCTGTGCCATCGTAGAGGCTTCCATCACTTCCATGGCGTTCATTCCTAAACTTATAGTCTCTTCATCGAATTCTTCTATTTCTTTCACTTGTCGTTCATTTAAAGCTTTAACCATTTCTGTTTTAGCACTTGAAAGTTTTGTTCGGTCATCGTCCATCTGTAAAGTACGAAAAAGGTAAGATAATGTACACATTAAAGGAATGGATATATTTGAGTATATTCTTCATAAAAAGCAGACAAGGTATAAAATTGCAAATCCTCACTACGAAGCAATTGAAGAATTATCTATAAGTTTGTCATCTGTGAATCAAATGAATTCATATTTGTTGTGAATAGAAATTTACAAGGATATTTTTTAAGAGTTTAACTAACTCTGTTTAGTGTAGATTATTCAATTGATGTGTGGCTGCTATTAAATACTATATTCATCTTTAGTTTTATTTTGTGCTGTAAGGTTGCTGTCTCAATGGTGTATAGGTATTCTATTTGGCACAATAGCTCATCATAGGAATATGTATTATCACATACAGCTATGTCGTCTAATATGGAGATTCAATTTTATTTCATATTTTTTCATCAATTCCATGTTCCTACGGTTGATTGTAACTACAGGTTCTGTGAGCAAAGTTCACAAAATGAGACAAAAAGTGCATAAAAAACTGCACAACGGTGTTATATGAATAAGATTCTGAGAAAGTTTCAATAAATTGTGGATACAAAACAGGTACCTCAGAAAAAACAGACCCTGAAAACAATTCTGTTTACGAGCTGTTCATCATAAAAATTATCTCCACAAGATGTTTCTCTTAATAGTAAACGTTTCTTTAGTTCTAGAATAGATTTTTGTAGAGTTTTCTAAATGAATATATATGTTTATACTAGTATGTATGGTGTATTTAAGTAGATTTTATCTTTGTTCATCTAAGCAGCAGTATTTGTTTTCTATCTGTATTTAAGTTACAATCTGCATACCTTTTGTTCAAGGAGAGCTCGTCGTAACGACACTCTCTCCTCTAACTGTTTCCTCTCTCTATGGTGCTGTGCTTCCATCTGCATTTTTATTTTACTCTGATATGCCATCAGGAGTTCTAACTCTTGCTGCAGTCGTTGTTTCAACTCTTGTGCCTCCGTTAACTGGGCGTCATCTAATCTCATCTGTTTTCAAAACAATTGTATTAAGTTACTTCTTTACATAAGAATTATTCATGTTATTATGTTTATCATTTTAGCAGTTTTTTTTATCAGTAACAATTGTAAATCCAAGTAACTGTTTGTCTCTGAATAAATTGTTTTATTGTTTTTTTCTTCTTTTTTTTATTAATACAAATGTAAAAGAAACCATGGTAATTTCTTTTGAATGTTTCTAACCTAATTTAACGCCCTTTGCAGTTTACCAAAACGTAAACTTTTACTCATTCTCATGCTGTATGAGAAACAAATTTATCAATGTCTGAATCTTCCTGGTATTTCTTTGTGAATTCCTTGGATCACTGGCAAATTACATATATATTATATCTATTTATTTTCCTAATTTGTGTTTAGTAGCAGACCTAACGCAAACAACAACCAATCAATCAATGTATTAAGTAGCCCATTATATCTTTTAAGTATGTAAATGTATGTATTTTTCAGAATTGTATGTACTTTTAAGAATTCATTTTACACAGACAATGCATTTATGATCACAAAAATCTTTTACTTATCACAAGCTTTACCGCTAACATTCATCATGTTCATTGAAAAACAAATACAAACTGGTTGTCATTGGTTTCTGTCAGTCAAATTGGATTTAGGTTTATTGTTTTCTCAAAAATCAGGCCGTTGGTTTCTTCTTTTGAACTGTTTCACATTTTGTCATGGAAGCCCTTTTATTGGTGACTATTCAGTGCGGGTTTTGCTAATTATTGAAGGCCGTACTGTGACCTATGATTGCTTACATTCACATCAATCAGACTCTGGTGGATAGTCTCATTGGCAATCACACCACATCTCCTTATTTTCGTATCACTGATCACATTATATAGCCTAAGAAAAACTACCAATACCATGGCAAAAATGAATAATAGTCTACAAAACACTTTAAAATACTATTATTTAACATTCAAACAAACATGTATTAGCAGCCTTCATTAAAACTTGCAATTGTTTTGGATGTTTTGGATAAACATCATTATCATGATTAAAGGAGGTGGGTTTTGATTTGATATTCTGATGAGAAAATTATTCTCAAACGATGGTTTAAAAGTGAGCAAAAGATACACATGTCAGACATAGCCTTCAAGAATTTCAGGAGCAAACATTTATACTTTATCCTTTTCAAATGCTTGTTTAGCAAATGGAATTTATTTCTCATTCAAAATTTCTGATTTTTTTCTTCTGGCGATTCTTCAAGATTCAAAAAATTTTAGTTCATAATTATTGCTACATTCCCTGAAAGTATTTTGTTAGTTCAATGTCAAGTAGCCTGCAAATACACAGCTGAAGCTGGATTTAGAACAATTAAAAAGTATTTTCTTAAGATTTGATATTTTTACACCATATTTAAATGACGAACAGCAATGTAAGATGAGCATAGCTGCATGTAATAAATTTCAGAGTGAAGTATGCAAGACTCAAGTTTGTTTGTGAATTTTTCTAATTGGCAGCATTACATGGTAGATATCATATGCCTATCTTTGTTTTCAAATTTTTGTCTAAAGATCTTAAATCATTTTACAGTTTAATTTTAAGAGTCTAGTTAGCTTTTAAATGTCTATCAGCAGTCATTTCATACAAAACATAAATGTAGACATTCAGACTTCTAAGATTTTTTTTACCACTGTTAGCCAATTAACCTTAACAATTGAAACAGGGGAGGTAACTGATACTCACATTTTGCTGCTGTAACATTTCTGCTATACTGGCCTCATACTGCTCTCCAAGAATATTTAATTTCCTCACTTGTTCTTCCTTTAGTTTTTTCACAACAGCTTTTTGTTCATTTTTAGGTGTATTTTGTACAATATGATCTTTAAGAGCTCTATATTGTTTTCTTTGTGTTTGCACAGCTTCATGAAATTGTTTACGAATTTGCACCTCTTTTTGCTGAAAAGTAAAAATGTTAAAAATTATTATTTCATTGTAGTGTACATGAATAAATCAGTTGCCTTTTATTACAGTTCAATGTGCCTTTCCACTTATTCAATGTATGCCACTTTGGTATTTTTTCACCTTTATACTTAAAAGTTTGAATGTGTTGTATCTGTGAGTAATGAACCTTTCTATGACTTTTGACATTAGGACTGTTCCATTAAAACATACATCGTACCCAGGGCAGGTACTTTGAAAACAGAGTGACCACCCATAGAAGCTATTTTAGAGTCCTGCATAATTTAAAACCTGTTCAACACAATATTTCACACCCATCAATAGTGGACAAATTTAAGTTGCCTTCCCTGGGTCCCATGTATGTCTTTATGGAACAGTCCTTATGGTTTTCTTATTTTTATTTGAATAAAAATTACTGATTTGTCTTTCTATATTTTCTTTTAGAGACATAATCCTATAAATTGCACAATGACAGGAAATCAAGAATAAACCACCAGTGAAGTTTATGAAAAAATGATAAATGCTTTGTCTTCAGATGTCCTAATTGTATTCCAATTTTTATAATCCCAATACGAATCTATATGCATATCTGTTTTTTTCTTAGATCTTTATTTTTGTAAATTTTTTGGGTTAATTTTTAAGTGTAAATATTAAAGCACATAATGAGTTCAATTCTCAGGTCAATTCTGTTCTTAAAATGATATATCTTTGATGGATTTTACTGGTTGAAAAATGCAAATTCATGCCAAAAAGGAAGAGGTAAAAAAAAAAAAACAATCCCTACAATGAAAAATGCAACCTTTTCAAATAATGATAAGACAATAATTTTACCTTCAAACTCCTCGGCTGCTGTTTATGTTCCATTAAATGTTTTTTCCTTAAATTGGATTCCTCACGACTATTATATTCCTTTTGATTTTCACGTTCAGTAATATGTTGTTTCCGTAAATGTTCGTCCCGTAAATTTTGAATTGCTAACAATTGTTTATATTCTAATTCCTGCGTTGACTCATGATGCCGTAATAACATACTATGTTCTTTTTCTTGCTGTTCTTGTAATTTTGTTAATTCCTGTAAAAAGATTCTCAATAGTTATATATTATGTCATAATTTCTTCAAATTAATATATACATTTAATTTTTCTATATGCAAAATTGTAAATAATGAATGAATCTGTAGAGTTTAGGGCTAATGTAAAGTTATATTTAAAGGGGAATTTGAAGAAAACCTCTATATTTTTTATATCAAGTGCCCTCCAAACTCAATAATAGATTCTTGAGTAGCCGTCAGTGTTCTTCCCAGTACTTTTGCACCTTGATAATCACGGCAACAGTTTAATTAAACGCCTAAAACACTTTGATGCAATGGACAAATTTCTCCCAGTTAGTTCTAATTGGGTTCCGTAACTTTGTTATTACCTTTATCTATCTTTTATAGATATAAGAAGATGTGGTATGAGTGCCAATGAGACAACTCTCCATCCAAGTCAAAATTCAGTTTAGTTTTCTACTGTACTGTGAAATGGCAACATCTATACTGAGAGCCAATATGGAGCTGCACCATGAGCGCATGATACGCCTGTCAGCCTTTTAGCTCGTCTTTAAGCTTAAATGAGTTAATAGTAGCACTACTCAAATAGACCCCCCCCCCCCCCCAAAAAAAAAAGACATGCACACACAGTGGTACCCACTGAAACAAAACATGAATAATTTGGCACTATTAAGTTTAACTAAGTTTGAGGCTTCATTTTTCGAATGAATAAAATTCTATAACTCTCAAAAGTGTGATAAATGGACAGTTTTCAAAGATTTTTTCAAAGAATAAAGTTCAATTACTCCACAATGTCATATCAGAAATTTATCAAAAAACAAAAAATAACAACAAAAAAACAAAAAAAACAGAGCTTATTTCGATAGATATAAACAAGTCTCCAAAGTTTCATGAAAACTGCACAAATCTTTTTCAGTTATTGCCCGAAAACTGGAAAATCCCCCTTTTTTTTTTATATGAATAAAATCCAATAACTAGGAAACGTAAAATCGGAAATTTTCTAAATCAAAAGGGAACTTAAGTCAATATATATGAACAATTCACCAAAGTTTCATGAAAATTTCTCAAAGCATTTTTGAGTTATAGTCATAAAACTGGAAAATCTTATATCTTTTTATGAATAAAATCCCATAACTGGAAAACGTAAAATCTTAAAATTTAAATTTATAAAAAACAAAAGGGAACCTACGTCAATAGATATAAACAATTCACCAAAGTTTTAGGAAAATTGATGAAAATGTTTTCGAGTTATTGTCCTAAGTGTTGACGATGGACGGATGGACAGACAACAGTATACCATAATACATTCCCTTCAACAGGCATATAATAATTAATAAAAAAATCATTTGACAATTAATAATCCTCAATGTTGCAAGTATAAATAAAAGAAAAGCATTCAAATGACACCTAACAATGCATATTTTTTTTTTATATTTCAAAGGGCAACAACTCCAAAAAATTTCATATTGTTCTTTTAACTTTTTTTAAATATTCTACAAGGCGTGATATAGCTTACAAAGCAATTTTCCATATAATGCACTGATTATCAAGCTCATCCAAGACCTTGCTGATATAAACCTTTAATATGAATTTCATAAAAATCTGACAAGAAAGTATGCGTAAGAATGTTTACATTGCAATTTTCCATATAATTTGACATAATTCCTGTAAAAAGCGATTGCCACTGATTTTCCAAAATTATCCAAGAAATTGCTGATAAAAACTTTTGAAATAATTTCAAAAATCTATTAAGAATTGAAACCTGAGGTGCCCTTTCAATTAAATTGTCCATAGAAATTATATTTCCAAGGGACATGACTCCACTAAATATAACTGAATCACACTGGTTTTAGAACTCATCTAATTACAAGAAATGTAGTTGAGCAGTCTGGGAATTTAGAACTCATCTAATTACAAGAAATGTAGTTGAGCAGTCTGGGAAGTTGGTCTGTAAAAATAAATCTTGAAAATGAAGTTTGAGGGTTGAGTGCTGACAAACATGTTAAACTCCACCACATTCCACTTTAAAAGCCTGTTCCGTTATTCATTTATTTTGTTGGTTCGTGACAGTCATATTTGTTTTACATAAATTGTTTTGTTAAAATCTAGTGTCAAATTAATATGATCATAAATTATTTTAAGACAAATTCATTCTTCTTACTATCATAATGGTTTTGTCTTTAATGTTTTTTTTTTTAATTGTTCCATATCATGTCAAAACAATACTTCTTTCACATACCCATAAATAACTAAACAATTAATTACATTTTATCAAAATTAAAATACATGTACACAAAGTGCTCAAGATTGACACACCAAAATTTAACCACTTCTTTTTTGGTAAAAGCACAAAAATATCCCTACACTGAAATATTGTGATTACGGATAACATAAATACCTCCTGAATCTGATCTTTCTCTAAAGTGTGATATTGTACAACTTTCCGTCGTCTAAATTTACGGATTTCAAATTCTATAGAGTCTTTGTGTTGTTTTTCAAGTCTAGTTTCTGCCTCTTTTTGACGGGACATCAAACGATCCTTGTGTAATTTTAATGTGTCTTCTCTTTCCTTTTTAGGAGTTCCACTATCTATTTCCTGTCAAATTCAATTTATTTATTAATACATTTCACAGGTAATACATACCAGATTAACATATGATACCCATGGATGGAACTTTGAAAATGGGTAACCACCTATAAAATCATTCTATTCCACTCACAACATTTTTGTACTTATATATATATGCTATATTTATAGGAACTATGATCTAGTGTTCTCTAGATAGGGATGGTTTCGGCACATATAAAACTGGTTTACCCCTACCAAATTTTGTGCCTGTTCCAAGTCATGCTATCTGAACCATGTGTTATTCATCTTTGTTCATATGTCTTATTTTAACAGAGGAGTGAGGAGATAAAAGTTGCTGTGGTCTATTGTACTAACAGATATATTTTGTGAATCCTGTTTTCCTTGTTAAGTTATACACCATATTATATTCACTAAGCAGATATGCAAATTAGTCTTGAACTCATTTTTCTTTGAGAAAATTTTAAAAAATAAAAATCTTGGGTTTGTCTGACACTTCCATTTTAATGCTGTAATTCATTCCCTTTAATAAAGAAAACTTTGATAATTCTTGTTTCTTATTTATGTGTAGACACACCAACTTGTTTTGAAATTTCAAGTTTGATATCATGTATTTCAATATGAAGTTTACTCTTTTCATTTGTTCTTTGTTGAGCTTGTATTCTTTTTTCTGCATAGCTCCAAAAGTTTTCCTCTCTGTATCTTGTGTTGCTGAAATTTGTCGTATCAACTTCTTCTCCATGGCTTGATTTGTCTTTTGCTACAATGAAGAACAAATATTTGAATGTTAGACATAATTTTCTATCATTGTGTTTGTAGTGGTCACAACAAACAAATATTAAAGAAATTACAGAAATCAACTAGTAATACGTAATCAGAACTAAAGAAATTCTGTTTACGGAAACTTTTCACCAATATTTTTGGCTTGTTTTGAAATGTAAAGATTATTTCATTCTGATCAATATATTTTGATATTATTTTTTTTTAATCCCAAACCATTGACCAATGTACTGCAGCGTTTTATAGTATACAGTTTTATGACGGGTTTTCAGTATCACACACAACTAATAAACAGAAAAGAAGTACAATGTATTATGACTTCATGTTGACTGCTGTACCCCAATTTTTTACACTTTTACAAATCACGTCATTTTGTTTTGCTCATTGTTGTCAATATAATGAAATTCTATGCGACTGTCATTCAAATGAGAGATTTAGCTACCTATAAAACTCGGTTTAAGCGACCATTTTCTACACAAGGAAATGTCTGTACCAAGTCAGGAATATGACAGTTGTTTTCCATTCATTGATGTGTTCAGTTTTGAATTTTCATTGGAGTTCGATATTTTTAATATTTTACTTTGAGATGAAATCTTTTCCTGTTAATGTCAATACAATAATGAGGTTTCCTTCATTTCCGTGGATGCCTATTTTCATGGATTGAGTAAAATTTGCATTTTCGAGGATATTTGATTTTGTGGCATAATTTGTTACGTTATAATCTGCAAATAATTACACAGATTTAGGTATCTTTTTAAAATCTATTCAAATTCCTTCAACTGTTGGTCAAACTGACCAATGATTAGTGCTATTATCATGATTATTTTTTTTTACCTTCTATTTGGTCTGCAGCTTGATAATGATCAGCTATAGCATGTAAGCATTTTTAAGATTAGCAGTTCGAAGTTTCAGTCAATTGTACACAGTGGTGCAGGTCTTGTTTTAAAATTGTACTACAATGACAATTTATTTACAAATGGACAGATATTTAAAAGTGCAAGTATTGCTGGTTATTTTGTAAGTACACCAACCCTTTTGTCTAAATCTTGCTGCTGTTTCTTTTTTAACCTTTCCAATTCCATACTAAACTGCTGTTTCAGATTATCATATTCTTTGTCTAACCTCTGTTTGTGTTCCTCCATCTCTTGTTTATATTTACTTTCAAGCTACAAAAGAAATTAAACATCTTAACATTTTAGAATAAAAAGTTTTATTATCTCAGTCATGATGAGGCTTTCAACACTTCTCTGTGGCTGCCAAACAGGGAGCAGTGACGACCTATCTGGGTGACTTCAGCGTGAAGTGAGGGTGCAATAATGCTTTTCGTGTGATAATTTGCTAGCGGCACACCTTGTTATTTTTAGGAACCTTTTTCAAAACAAATGTTAAGGTTTTGTTTTCTTGCCTTGAGATCTGAATAGATTGATGGAGTAAAGAATTGGAATAATTAGCAATTACCGTTCTTCATCTTGTCAGTTGCCCACTGTTGTTTTAATTGTACTTTTTTAAGTAGGTTTAAGATAAATTTCAAAGATTTTCAAACATGTATAAGGTTATCAATTCTCATGTTGATGTTTTTTTATTATGATACTTGAAATGGTTAAATATATACTTACAGATAGAAGTTGTTTTTGGTGTTGTTTTCTGAGTCTTTTATATCCAGCAAACTGTTCTCTCAGTTCATTGGACACCTCATGATCCTTGATCTGTTTAGTAACTATCGATGTCGTTCTTATTGTAGCGAAATTATTAGCACCAGGTTCAACACTTCTATTACTAGCATTGGATGACTGAAAACATAAACGCTGTACTTAAACATTTTATACAACATAAAATAATTCTAACTTACAGTGGAATCATATCAACCATACTTTTGGCAATTGTTCAGATATTTTTTTTTACCTTAGTATAAGCTACCAAAAATTTAAATAAAAATTGTGAATGAAACAAAGAGGCCAAACATAAAAGTATGTGTGATCAGGGTTTCCTCCTCACAAAAAATATAGACTATAGGTAGGTAGGATGGAATTCTCTTTTTTTTTTTCACCTTTAGTATATGGGGAGGGGAGACCTGCAGTTTTGCAACAGTTCACTGTCAAAATTTGCCAATAAAATATTAAGAGTAGGCATTTTGCTGCATGTAAAATAGGGTATTTAAGGTCATTGGTTTTCTCTCTTGAATTATTTCACAGTTTGTCATGTTGGACCTTGTATATGGTATGGGCTTTACTCATTGTTGAAGGCTGTATTAGACCTATAATTGTTTACAGCCTCGTTCTTTCATCAATAGTGAATAGGTTCTCATGGAAAATCATACCACATCTCTTTATACAGGATGGGTAAACCGAAACACATTTTTTTTACATTTTGGCCGTTTTATATTTCAATTCAAACCAATTCATTTTCAACACCTATTAATAATAAAAAAATTACTATTAAATTTTGAATAGCTTGAATGAAATAAGAATACACCATGAACACCTGACCAGTACCAATAAAAATATGTATAAGGCAGGAACATTTCTGCTGTATTAAAGTAAGAGATTTAACTGTAAATGATTTCACTGTACAGAGGAAGATGATCAGATTCTTAATTTAAAAAGAAACCAACTACAAAATTACAAAATATTACTCCTTGTGATATGTGATACACTTTCTCATTACTTTCTAATGTTTTCTAAGGCTGGTTTTTTTGTACTATAACGCCATAACAATTTTACACAGAACGATATAAATGTCATGATGTTATGGCCATTCTTAAGAGTGCTGTATTATTAGACAAAAACAAAGCACCAATCAAATGACATGCAACATTCCACAGCCAATCCATATTAATTGATAATATTAAAAGTCATTTCAGATTATATTAGCCAGATTGGGACAGAAAAGTCCACTGAAAGTAAACCTGATGCATGTCCTCTATATCCTCTATGTGGCAAACTTGTCTTACTGAATATAAGTGGTATTACATTTATAAAGAAATATTACTGTAATTTACTATGGCATATGTTACAAAATCAGGTCAAATAATCTTTGATTGTTTCCACAATAAATATGTCTTTATCACAGCAAAAAAAACCCAAAGTGCCCTAATTTTTTCTACTGTTTACAATAGTTGACTAGATATGCTATTCTAACGACATGTTTCTAATATTTGTTCACCAAATCAATCTAAAGACTGTTTTGTCTGTCCTGGTACATAATACTTCAGGTAAACTCTACCTAAGGAAGGTAACTTATTTTGATTGCTTAATGTCACATGGTAAATATTTAATGCATACTAATAAAAAAAGCATTAAATCCATTATCCACATTAATAAAATCCTCCTTAAATCAACTAGAGGCTCTCAAGAGCCTGTGTCGCTCACCTGAATTTACTGATACTTTGGAAATCATGTAAAATAAGGTTAAAATCATAATTAATAATATTAGATATTAGATATTATAATGATATCTAAGATAATAACAAAAAACTGCAAAATTTTTGTAAAATTACTAACTCAGGGGCAGCAACCCAACAACGGGTTGTCGGATTCGTCTGAAAATTTCAGGGCAGATAAATCTAAATCTGATGAACATTTTTGCCACCTGCCAGATTTGCTCTAAATGCTTTAGTTTCAGAGATATAAACCAAAAACTGCATTTTACCCCTATGTTCTATTTTTAACCAAGTCGGCCATGATGGTTGGAAGGCGGGGTCATCGGACAAATTTTTTAAACTAGATACCCTAATAATGATTATGGCCAAGTATGGTTAAATTTGTCTCAGTAGTTTCAGAGAAGAAGATTTTTGTAAAAGATTACAAAAATTTACAAAAAATTGTTAAAAATTGACTATTAAGGGCAATAACTCCTAAAGGGGTCGACTGACAATTTAGGTCATGACAACTTATTTGTAGATCTTACTTTGCTGAACATTATTGCTGTTTACAGTTTATCTCTATCTATAATAATATTCAAGATAATTACCAACAAGAGTGCACACGCTGAAATGTCTCGCCTTCTTTACTAATCATTGATATTATGTTGATAGTCCTAAATATAAAGCTTTATTACAACTGTCACATAAACTTAACATTAACCAAGTAAACTAAACATTGACCAATGAACCATGAAAATGAGGTCAAGGTCAGATGAACCATGCTAGGCAGGCATGTACAGCTAACAATTCTTCCATACAACAAATATAGTTGACCTATTGCTTATAGTTTAAGAAAAACAGACGAAAACACAAAAACTTAACACTGAGCAATGAACCTTGAAAATGAGGTCAAGGTCAAATAAAACCTGCGTAACTGACATATAGATCATAAAATATTTCCATACACCAAATATAGTTGAACTATTGCATATAGTATTAGAAAAAAAGACCAAAACTCAAAAACTTAACTTTGACCACTGAACCATGAAAATGAGGTCAAGGTAAGATGACACCTGCCAGCTAGACATGTACACCTTACAATCATTCCATACACCAAATATAGCTGACCTATTGCATGCAGTGTTAGAAAGAAAGACCAAAACTCAAAAACTTAACTTTGACCACTGAACCATGAAAATGAGGTCAAGGTCAGATGACACCTGCCAGCTAAACATGTACACCTTACAATCATTCCATACACCAAATATAGTAGACCTATTGCATACAGTATAAGAAAAACAGACCAAAACACAAAAACTTAACTATAGCCACTGAACCATGAAAATGAGGTCAAGGTCAGATGACACCTGCCAGTTGGACATGTACACCTTACAGTCCTTCCATACACCGAATATACTAGACCTATTGCTTATAGTATCTGAGATATGGACTTGACCACCAAAACTTAACCTTGTTCACTGATCCATGAAATGAGGTCGAGGTCAAGTGAAAACTGTCTGACGGGCATGAGGACCTTGCAAGGTACGCACATACCAAATATAGTTATCCTATTACTTATAATAAGAGAGAATTTAACATTACAAAAAATCTGAACTTTTTTTTCAAGTAGTCACTGAACCATGAAAATGAGGTCAAGGACATTGGACATGTGACTGACGGAAACTTCGTAACATGAGGCATCCATATACAAAGTATGAAACATCCAGGTCTTCCATCTTCTAAAATATAAAGCTTTTAAGAAGTTAGCTAACGCCGCCGCCGCCGCTGCCGCCGCCGCCGCCGGATCGCTATCCCTATGTCGAGCTTTCTGCGACAAAAGTCGCAGGCTCGACAAAAACTGCAAAATTTCCTTAAAATTACAAATTCAGGGGCAGCAACCCAACAACAGAATGTCAGATTTGTCTGAAAATTTCAGGGCAGATAGATCTTGACCTGACAATCAGTTTTACCCTATGTCAGATTTACTCTAAATGCTTTGGTTTCAGAGATATAAGCCAAAATCTACATTTTACCCCTATGTTCTATTTTTAGCCATGGCGGCCATCTTGGTTGGTTGGCGGGGTCAACGGACACATTTCTTAAACTAGATACCCTAATGATGATTGTGGCCAAGTTTGGTCAAATTTGGCCCAGTGGTTTCAGAAGAGAAGATTTTTGTAAAAAGCTAACGACGACGGACGACGGATGACAACGACGGACCCCAAGTGATGAGAAAAGCTCACTTGGCCCTTCGGGCCAGGTGAGCTAATAAAAACTGGTACCCACAAAAATAAATGAATCCACTTGTTCAGTAAATACCTTTTGAGTAAAAAATTGTCCAGCTATGAATTTGAGTCATTAATATAAAATACTTGTCGTCAAGTATTCTGAATACACATAGAACTTTGATTAGGATTATATTTGATTTTTGTCTAAAATAATACTGTTTGGAGCAACCAAACCTGCATGCACTCTATCTACACGCTGGTCAAATCAATTGTTTCATGTAACATATATATTTGAAGCGTTAATTATATGACTCATCAATGTCTACAATGTAACTTTAACCTGAAGTTTACATCACATACTGACCATGTTTACCTAGACCATCTTCTAGAAATATAACCTGTGGGTAAATAGGGAAAATTCTGAGCCAGTAAAAAAGATTTTCATGAAGATCTAAAAAATTGGAAAAAATTAATTAATTTATACTTCAGACATAATTTTTCCTAGATTCCAAAATCAAGTTCCATAGAGAATGACAGGCAAATAAAAGCTACAACTAAATTTCTGTGCAGTCATGGAATATTTTTTGTCATGGTCAAAAGAATTTTAAGAGGTTACCAAACCAAATGTAAGTCATATGATATGCTAATTTCAAGACAAAAGTCATGATACAACTGAATTGCAGGTACAATTTTAATTCAATCAGAAAGTTCAATTTTATAAAATAGTTCCGTAACAACCACAAGAACAGAAAATGAAATAAACACTTTATACACTTGTTGCGTAAGATTCACATTTCTGGATCTGCCTTCATCAAAAAGTTAATATATTAAATCATTTGCTCTGCACTTTTCTTGAAAATTAATGCTTTATACAAAATAAACAGAATTTTCCAACAAGAAAATCCTTTTGATTACAAATATCCAAAACTCTATGACAGGTATGTATTACAATCAAACCTGAGTCCTAAAGCAGTTCAGTTTAGATAAGTTTCACAGTATCCATGATGTAAACTTCAGGAACTCTTACAAAAGTATCACTGACAAAAAAAAAAGAGACCAGATTATTGAAATAATAATCAATCATGTTTTGTTGTTAATGTTAAATAAATGTACATATTGTTGACATGCTGTAACACACCATGCTGAGATATACCTTGTTTGTGTGTGCATGTTCAGCAATACTTGATCTTGGATTTGACCAATCCTTTAGAAGTTAAGACATACAGATTAAATTATATGTTCTGTAAACTGTTAATCTTTTCAATGTTAATTTTGTATGTTGAATTAAAATCATTCATTTCTTTTTATTACTTTTAAGCATTATAACAATACAGCATCCTTCCCTGCAAAGCTGAATATGATAATGTTTAAATTATCCCAATATTTTTTCGATTATATTTCAGACATGATTGAAAACTTGACCCTTATTCCATTCTATAGTAAACAGTTTAACTAGAATCTAGAGATATGAAAATTTACAAGAAATTAAAAGTTTCTATATTTGAAAAATAGCTACAATTGAAAAGATTAACAAAATATGTGTATTTTATAAAATAATGAAAATAAAGAATATCTGACGTGCAAATGGGTACCAACTTCTTATTGAACTTAAAAATTTACATGTTGCCAAATAAGACCAAACAGTCTCAGTGCTACCTCAATCCTATTTCAAATGATTCAGACATTTTATTATCCTTTCCTACTTCATGTGGTACACATTTGCCTCTAGAGTACAATGCATATAGTTTGAGATATCTCATGTTAGCATAGCATTATTTATGACACCAAGTGAGATATCTCATGATATATAGTCTTGATACCCATGCTCTAGTAGATTAATGTACCTTCGGACGTCCTGGCAAATTGGACTGAAACTGATGAATAAAGAAAAAGCCAATGCGTCATGTGATGAAACAGAAAGATTTCAATGATCATTTTTTTTAAATTCTTATTGCAATGGAATAAAAGAAAGATTTTGAAAAAGTTAATCAATTTTTTCCAATTCTTTGCAGAATTTTAGATGATTGCTTTTCATGCTTTAATTAAACTGTGAACAGTTATATAAATAGACGTACAAATGAAAGCATGCATGACACTAATGAGGGAAAAAAATTATTTCACTATTATGTACACACAAAATGATTGTGATAATCAATTTCAAATTAGGAATGTGCTTCAAAAATGTTTTAGCAGAAAATTAATACCCGAAACCATGATTTCTGAAAGCTAGTATAACTATGCCCTTTCTTGAATATCATGACATGAGTTTCCATATCTTTACTGTAGCAATTTACACAATCGTTGTATTTTTTAAACATAAACAAAATAACAAATAGACAACCATTCTCATTGAGATGTTTGATTCATGATCTTTAAAAAAAAAAAATAAAGAGCAGCATTGAACTCTGTGCTTGTCCTCATATAAGTGTTATCTCCATCACAGATATGAAAAATCTGTTCTAAAAAAGACCAATAAATTCTTCTTACATGTACTTTTATTTGTATCCGCTCTTTTAAGTTGAAACAGTTTTCTGCCTAGGATACTGATTTTGTAAAACCTAACATTCACACTTACTTTTTCTAAGTATCTAATGAATTTTTTCAGTTTCCCAATTCGCAGAAAAAAGTGCATTTTTTCAGCGATTATCTCCTCAAGTATCTCAGAAATTGTTTTCACTTGTAAATACTTAAAATAAGTGGGTTTTTTTTAAATTCAACACCGACATAGGAAGTTTCTTGTTTAGAAAAAGCTGCTTATTCCTAACATGCCTAACATATCAAATTAATTTTAAAATATCTCAACAATGTACCTACTTTACTATACAGCTGTCAACTTAAAAACTACTAAAATCTTAACTTTCTTATAAAGTACAAAATACATGCATGTGTTACACTTACACTTCTCTCCCTTGAGAAACTACTAAATCCTAAATCATCATTAGTGGCACTATGAATGCTGTTTTGACTACTACTTTTACTACTCATACTAATGGAATGAGAGCTTTGTTGACTAGCTATACTGCTGGATTTACTGCTGTCCACATTATCACCGTCCTGTAAATACAAACAAAACTTACTTATACATTGGAAACAACTTCCTTTTAGGGGTTTTTCCAGGGGAAAATGTAATAAGGAATGGGGAATAGAACAACTTTTTTTGTTTACACTCAACCACCCATACTTTTAATTTATTTTAATTGTAATAACCCCTATTTATTTCCACCCTCGTTACACACTGAAAAAAAATGTTCATGTGATGTCCAACACTCCCGTACTTTTTATCCTTTAGCAGACCTAAGAGGAATATCAGTATTCTCTAATTGAAGTGTATCAAGCATTACTGAAACAAATTTGCTTACAGTTATTTTAAAACTAAGTATACAACTACACTTTCTTTTTGCATGTAATCTGAAATTTATGCCATTCAAAATTTTTGGTAAATACTTAAAACTTCCTTTTCATGTATGAACTCTCTTGTCTATTTTGTGTTTAACATGATTTTCTTCACATCTGTATAATTTCAGTTTTAATGGTGAGTGCTATTAGTAAACACCACCCTTTGATGAGTGACAAGAAACTTTGTTGTTCAGTGGTTGTCGTTTGTTGGTGTGGTTCATAAGTGTTTCTTGTTTCGCGTTTTTTATATAGAATAGACCGTTGGTTTTCCTCCTTGAATTGTTTTACACTAGTCATTTTGGAGCCTTTATAGCTTACTGTTCCATGTGAGCCAAGGCTCTGTGTTGAAGACCGTACTTTGACCTATAATTGTTAACTTTTTATACATTGTGACTTGGATGGAGAGTTGTCTCATTGGCACTCATACCACATCTTCTTATATATATTTGTTGAATACCAGGAGATCAAGTGCATCTTTTCCTATGTTTTGCAAATGTTAGAAGAAATCACAGCTTAACTATCACTAGATCCATTATCACATGTATTGTAAATACTAATCTGGGACGAATCATTTTCAGTCAAATCTGTACAATTATTAAATTCAGTCAGTCACATTCATCCAATTATTGAATTCAGTCACATCTCTTTGATCAAATTAAGTCACATCTGTACAATTATCAAATTCAGTCAGTCACAGCCATCCAATTATTGAATTCAGTCACATCTACAATTATTAAAATTCAGTCACATCTGTACGATTATTGAATTCAGTCATATCTGTACAATGATTAAATTCAGTCACATCAGTACAATTATTAAAATTCAGTCACATTTGATTATTAAATTCAATCACATCTGTGCAATTATTGAATTCAGTCACATTTGTACAGATATTAAATTCAGTCACATCTGTACAATTATCAAATTCAGTCACATCTGTACAATTATTAAATTCAATCACATCTGAATGGTCATTAGGACCATTCTTTGTACACAAACCCTTACGATAGCTTACCTGAGAAGAATCATCCTCCGTCACATCTGACCGCCCATTTGGACCATTCTCCACATCTATCACATCTACCATGAGTATCTTTTTCATTCTTTTGTATTGTAAATTATCTAGTTCTCTCACAGCATCTTTTGTTCTTTGTATTAAATCTAATATAACATTAGGTGGTCGGGTTTTATCAATAAATGGACCCTGAAATTGAAAGTGTAACAGTCGCGTCACATTTTATATCAAATAATATAACAAACACTGAGATTACAAGGCAACAGTTAAAAAGTGACTGCATCCTACTTTTTCATGAAATCTATAAACAGACATGTTCTTTTCTTCATCGTCTGAGATAAATATATCCCAAAAATGGATTAGGCTTACTGTTTATGCCTAAAAATTGATTGATATTTGCTCACATCACCTTACTGCAAAAGATATATTACAAACAGTGTTTTTGGGGGATTCACAGTGCCTGAGGAGGGAACAAAAATTCTTTAATAGATTTTGATTTGTTTTCAAGAATATTTTTTTACCAAGGTCACTATCACATATATCATAAATTAAATGAATTATGCATTTTTTCCAAAACTGACTTACCTTAATTAAAATATTTGCTGAGGGTCTATCACAGGGACTTTTTGACAAACAGGAGTCTACAAATTGACGGAATTCATCTGACCAATCTCCACCGGCAAGAGTAGGAGGATCGTTTTGAGCTATGTGATAAAGGGCACTCATAGCATTCATATTGAACAAGGGAGGCTTTCTTTCAGCTGAAAAAAACAAAAGCAATACTATAAACATGCATTTTTTACCCTTAGGTTTAAATTTTGCAATTTCTTCAGCCAAACCTGTTTGCAAAGTTTCATTTTCACCCTTCTTCCTAAACCCAATTCTAGTCTTCCTTAAAGATAAAATTTAAGCAAGGTGATATTTTCACAATTCTAACTCAACAGCAAAACAAACCCCTCCAAAAAATTTCCAACTTTACAATCATCACTTATAGAAAAGAACACTTTAAAAAAATATGAAAATAATATTCACAACATTGTTTAGTCAAGTATGGCTAAACCTCAGGGAAGATTAGTTTATTGTAACTAACTGAGTTTACCCTCTTTAAATAAAGTATTTATTATTATTATTATTATATTATATACAAAGATCCAAAGTATCAATTTAGCACAGTCACTTAAACAATCCAACAAGATATCCCTACTGTAAATTCTGAATACATGCATCTAGTATTATAATTCTTTGAATAATAGAAAATAATGCAAAATTGATTAAAAAACAGACATCCTTTTATGGAATTCATACCTCATCTCTTTATTTTTATATTCCTGTAATTTTGTAGTGAAATATTACTATCTTAAATCAAGATGCTAGTTTGAATTATAAACTCATTGTTCAATAATTAATCTGAAAATTTGTGGTACAAAATATTCTATTCTATGCTCAGGGGGATTTGAACTCATGCCTCTAACACCATGGCAACTTTGCCTGCACAATAGGTTATGTGATGGACAGTCAGTGATAAAATTGTCATATATTAAGACAAGAGATGCAAATGTATAAGTGACCTTTGTAGTGTTTAATAAGATAAATTATGCTATGAAAACAAACCTAGCTCTATACAAGTGATACCAAGGGACCATATATCTGCGTTCCCTTCATACTGGCCTTCATCCATGGCAAGAATCACTTCTGGTGCCATCCAGTAAGGTGTACCCACAAAGGAGTTAGCTGGACACACAATGGAAGCAGAACCAAAGTCAGCTGAAATATTTATAGTTAGACTTTAGGTGACAGTCGTCAATAAAACAGCTAAATCATGTAAATAAATATATATATTCCTAAAGTCATCAATGATTCTTTAACCGAGGGTAAAAAGTTAGTGAAACCCAATTTACTGCTGTACAGGGTGTGCCTACTCCTGGAGCTTCTCAAATTGAAACTTTCAATTGTTGTATGTGGTTTACAGTCCCAAACTTCATACATGGCTATAATGTGTTAGAATATATAAACAAGTATTTGGTTAACAAGAAGTTGACGAGTGATAAATTGGAAAATGCATCTTACAGTACATCACTACATGATGTTCACATGAAGCCTAATTCCTTATTTTTAGAAGCTCTGATTTGCAGTTCCTAAGAAAACTGTGATAGATATTTCATGTGACAGACAACAGACAGACCGAGGTAAAACAGTTTACCATGGATCCATTTATTTTCGTGTGTACCAATTTTCTGGGATTGAAGAAAAATTGTATATTTTCGATATTTGATTTCATGGTTTTGCTTAAATTTGTATATAATCCTATAGAACCTCAATTTGTGGCTTATCTATACCCACGAATTCTATAGAACCTCAATTTGTGGCTTATCTATACCCACGAATTCCAAGGAAATTGGTACCCCACGAATATTAATGAATCTACAGTACCTCCAAACTTCTGAGAGAGGGTATAATTAGCACTAGACAATACATACTGTACCCTGATCATTTAAAGCCTTACCTAATTTGACAGTTCCATTCTCTGTAAGTAATATATTGCCAGCTTTAACATCCCTGTGTATTTTGCCAAAGCTATGAAGATATTCTAAACCTTTCAAACACTGATGACAGATTTCTCCTATTTCATCTTCTTTTAATGGCTTCTTGTGAACTGTAAATAGAATTATATAAGCATGAGCATAAGTGTTACACAATATGTGTTAAAATGAATGATTTATTATAGCTAAACCCTCTTATTATTGTTGTCAACCAAAGGAACAATAGAATAGTGCTGTTTGCAGTCCAATAAACAGTAGGAAAATGTGATAGAGCATTATAACACAGCTCTAAAACGATGTGGAAAGAACACAGTCACTAAATACTTTAGATTGCAGCCATACATATCTTAGTGGAATAAATTCATTCAAATTTTTTTCTCGATTCAAGGCAATATAGAGCTTAAACATATGGTATAGATGTGCCTTATGGTTAAAATTGTATATTGACCTCTAGACGTCTTTATGATATTGTGTTGTTGTGTTGCTGTCTCATTGACACATACCCCACCTCTCTTTATTCATTCCTGTCATTTGCATATACATGACAAGGTGTAGGGTATATATGGGCATGTTATTATATCAATAGAGCTTGTCAATTACTCACAATAGTTAAAGCAGTTTATACACCTGAAACTTCCAAACTTTCCCATTGAAGAAATAGACAAACATTTATCTTTTCACTGTTTTTCTATCCTGATTTACAAGACTAAGAACTTGCTAAGTTATTTAGAAGATATAAATTATACTAAATATGGATGCAATTACAATAGGAATTCACAATTCTTTATTCTGAACTACAGCATGCAGAAAGAGTAATTTTGTGCAACTTTTGTTTGAATCAGCATGATTCATGTGATTTTTCTACCACAATAGGCACATTTGACCCACTCACGAGTTTATTTCCCTCCTATGCACCATGTAACACTAAAATATGTCAACCTTTAGATTTATACTACCAACCTTCAATAATGTCCGATGCTGAACCCAGACAGTATTCCATTACCATCTGAAAAAAAACAATAATAATCAAGAATTGTGTGTGTGCCAATCTGTTTTTCTTCATCTCCATTAAACAATATCAAATGTCAAAGAAATAATTATTAAATGCCAGAATTTTCAAACAAAAGCATTAAATATTATCTGCAGAATAACTGCTAGGTTGATTATGCTAGCATTATGTAGCCTTAGCAAATACTTTATCGGGGTCTGATTTTACATGAATTTGTTTATTCTAACAAAAAGAGTGCTTTTTTATTCAGGTCTTTTGGTAAACAAAAATAAGTGTTTAAGGCAAATTAATTTAAACTAGTTGGAACTGTTTTAGTGACTTTAAGAATAAGTGTTCTCTTCATCTATAGCATATATAAATGTCACTTAGGTTGGTACAATAAAAATATTTAGGCATGGATATTTAGATTATATATTGTTTAGAGGTGCACATATGATCAGTTAAAGATGAATTTAAAGTGGTCCTCCTTAAACTGAACTATTCACAAACTTTAAGATGTAAGCTATGAAACAGTTTCAAAGTTAATGAACAATGACTGAGATGACAGGGCCATATAATCTCCATGGAGATGAGCTGTACTAATGCTAACACAACTGCTCATCAAATATCTTAACTATCATTAGTGGCTCCCCATAAACTGCTCCAATCAAAAACTTTAACAAACTGTTGATGTCAACGTCCCAGAAACAGTATGCCTAAGTTTTGTCTCTGTGAAACAATTGATATCATAAAGTAACTGTTATGATTTCTAGGTGGTGCTTTGACTTATAATGGATCTCTTTATAATATATTTGTCTGACCCCACCTAGGCACTGATGTTAAAAGTTAAGACTATCGGCCTTCAAAGACCCCAAATATTGTGTTTCTGGAATAGCAATTTGAAATTGATTGAAGTAAATACATTACCCATGCTGTGTGTTCTTTGAGAAAACATCCTTTGTAGTCTATGGTGTTTTCATGTTTGACCTGCCTCAAGAACTTTACTTCTTTGATAATGTCCTGCCATTTCTGTAAAGAAAAAGAATAGAAACTTTCATTACATTTGCTGAACATTTTGCCATGTTACAAGGACTGGTGTGGTTTATTTACAGGTATTATCATATGTCATGTATGCATAGAATTTTATTGATAACATATACCACATGACTTGAACGACTTTTCCTAATGAAGCAATCATCGCAATACTGGGGATTCATTTATTTTTCATGGATACCAATTTTATGTGGATTCTGAAAATAATGTACTTTTGTGGATTCGGAAAATAACGTAATTTTGCAGATTCAGAAAATAACGTACTTTTGTGAAATTCTGAAAATAACGCACTTTTGTGGATTCTGAAAATAATGTACATTTGTGGATTCTTGATCTGTGGTTTTCAAAAAATAATGTATACAAGCCTATAGGAATTTATATTTCATAGATCCTAATTTGTGGTTCTCTACAGTATCTAAATTTCAATATGATTATATAATATTTACACAATTTCTGGTATGGTGTCTAATAAATTAATTTTCTCACTGTATGATCTTGTTGAATCACTTTTTACATATGTCTTAAAGCCTCAAGACAATTTGTTGACAAATAGATGATAGTCTAATTCTTTAAAGACCTCAATCTATTATTTAAAAGTTTACATTTCATTAGGCTAGTACATCGAAGTTGTCATAAAATAGCAATTCCTGCACATTTCCTATTGTCAAACAAAAAAACAAATGCAAAATAGAGATAGTGCATCTTATACACATTTCAAAGAATACTTGTTAAATTTTCATGACATCACCATGATCACTGCAGTATTCAAATTATTTACTGATAGTAATCTTGTATGAAAGATCAAAACAATACAATAAAATAACAAACAAGGAAATCTTACCATACAAAACTTGAATGGTAAAGAATGAGTAAACTTATGAACTTCCTAACTTATATAAACTTTTTAACATTATGAGAAATTTTTTTTAAGCAGGTTTATTAACAATCCAAATTTGAAATAAAGGAAATCTATGGTTAATATTCGTTGAGAAAGCCTTTTAAGGAGTTTGAATATCACTCATGGCAAGATGCATTCAACTCATGATCTAATTGACTAGGATTGAGTTTTCTTGTCAAAGGTTGTGGTTCTCTTCACCTTCCTCCCCAATAATCAGGCTGCCATGGTATAACTAAGTGTTCTTAAAGTGGCATTAAACATCAACAATCAATCAATCACATCATACACAAAGTCAAATATCCCTTAGACTTACCTCTCCTGCCTGTTTGCCATTGTAGGACATCTTCTTGATGGCAACAATCTCTTTGGTAACAACATTTCTGGCCTGAAATAAGGAAATAATACAAATATTACAAGAAGAAAAGTTCTAATGGACAACAGGTTCAGATTGAAGTGAGATATTACTAAATTAGCAGAAATCTAGAAATAAATCTTTAACCTTTATATCTGCTTTTTTATCTTGAAATGTAAACACATAAATTAAATAATTCAATACCATCCAAAAACTAGGGTTCTTAAAGTTTTACAATCGTTTAAAGGTCCCAGATTATTCCTGCTCAGATTTTCACAACCCCCCTTCTAAAATGAAAAGACAAAAGATCATTTCAGTACAGGTTAAAAATAAATTATATTGCTTTATTCATTCTTACTCATGTGATCTTTTGAAATGTACATCTGACTTTCAACATGTTCAATGAAAACCTATGAAACAACAGGACTCAAACCCCAACTTATGCAATTTTGACCTTTAAACTGACATCTCATGAACTACATTTGTGTCTACACAAATTTTACAATGTACTAGCTTACTATACAATATGGTTTTTGCTCATTGCTTAAGGATGCTGGTTTTCTTGTCGACATTTTTTAAATGCAGGGATCGTCTATAGCTTTTTAATTGTATGGGTTTTGCTCATTGTTGAAGGCAGTACAATGACCTTAAGTTGTGTACACCCCTATCCTTTGGTCTCTGGTGTACAGTTGGCAATCATACCACATCTCTGACCATATCTCCTTAGCTAAAAACAGACCATCTTAACATTTATTCTCATGATCATTACTTACATAGTATACAGCACCAAAACTTCCATGTCCAATTTCTCTCAGGTCTGAAAATATTCGTTCCGGATCCTCTGTTGAGAAGAGAGCTGCTATTTCAGGATCATTTAATTTTCCGGGCTTGGGTAATGCTGGCATTTCATCAATATTCTTTTACTCATTGGGTGTATCATAGATATATCACATTTCTGTAATTAAACATGAAAAATATTATCAAAAAGAAATATCCGTACTTGGCAATCATACCACATCTCCTTATTTTTATATTAACCTGTAATCAAATGCAAGTAGTATTTATGCATTTAAATCTCAAATCTCCAAAGGAATTTATGCTACTGTGGTTTTATTATTATTAATAAGGTACTAATTTTCTTGGATTTCATTGGTCAAGATTAACTTAAAATTTCAGTGTTATACAATATACTACAGGTATAATTAATGCAGATTTACTCAAACCATCTTTGCTATCTAAGTATCTTGTTTAAGCATAAAATAGAATGGAGCAACTGTTTTAATAGCTCATGCCTAGAATAACCCCCTAAAATACATTCAAGGAAGACATTGTCGTATTTATTCATATTATTGGAAGGGAAATTTGGTTACCAAAATACTTACACATACATTTGTGTACTATATAATATAGATAGCTGGTGTATACAAAATGGTTAATACTTTGAAAATGATTTGCATGGCATATTTGACAATAATATTTCATACCATTACTCATGTAAAAATATACACCCTTCTTTCCCCAGGACCCTAACAGTAAAAAAGTCTCCATTTCTGCCATGTCAACAGTTGAACACATTATTCAAATTCAATATCTGCTCGTTTATTTTAATCTTCACAATTTGGAATATGCATCATTACATGAAATATCTGAAGCTGATACAACAAAACTAAACTAAAAATCTGGCAACAGTTACTTTATGAACTAGTATTCATATCACATTAACATATTCTGGTCTTGGTGTACAGGTAATATTTCCCACTGGACATTAAGCACCAATTCATCATCATCTCGATTTTTCACAAAAATGCTACTTAATATTTTTTTTCAAACATCATATTGACCATGTCATGCATGTTGACACTTAATATCAACACCCAAAATAATGATACTGTACATTTAAACATTATAGTCTCAATTAATATAACAAAAGGCTAAATCTTTCAGTCGATCACAAAATGAGAAAAACTTTCTTAAGGAATTCTAATAGAGTTTTTTTTATAATTCAAACACTTAAGAAATGGAATTTTATCAAAATAATCACATATATTGTGTAATAAATAATGTGTAAAGCTGTTCGTTTATTTTGGTGTTTACATCCAACCCTTAGGTCACAGTATTTTAATTTGGAATGTGTAATGTATACCCACTGGACCTTGAAACACACCTACTACAATGTAAATAAACCATCCATCATTCTAATAAGATATCATTGTACCTGCAATCCTACTTAATAGACATTAACATAATGTCAGCAGTTCAAATTTATTCTTTTAGATGAAGATTTTTTGCTCTTTGAATTCTAAATTCTTTATGATATTTTCATTGTTCTTTTAACCCTTTCACCGATAGCTGCCCAGACAGAAGCTACTCTGAGACGATGGCTTCCCTGGCTACTATTACTCAAGTGGGAGATCTTCTTAATAAATGCCAATAAAAACTTGTCTGTAGTATTTTGTGTCTTTATTTCATTCACTAACACCATGTTCACAGTTTTGTTCATGTTTTGATAATTTTTTCTTCATAAAATATTCAAATTTTCAAATTTTCGGCATTATCTAGGTGAAATTCTCAAAATTCTACTTTTTGACCCAAAATCGTAATTTTTTAACCCAAAACGGCAAAATTTTGAAAAATTTAATGAGGCTGTACAAATTCCTTACACTGAACGATGTCCATTCCAAGTGTTTTGTACATAAAACGACATTTTATGTCAAAAAAGGTATACTAGTTTGGCTTCAATTCTTCCATATTCTTTCAAAAAAAAATGTTCCCTCATTTTAAATTCTCGTAAATTCCGTAAATTTCCTCTGATTTTGACACGGTTTTCAACAAACGGAAGCGCCATGTTTACACTTTCATCCGGGTATACAACAAAGAAAGATAACTCGTGTTTGCACTGTTTTGAGCGGGAAATATAAAAGAGGTATTCCGATCCCGGTAAAACGGGACTCATCGTCAGCTGTCTGAAGCGTGAATCCCGGTAAACCGGGACTCATCGGCGAAAGGGTTAAAGATAGTCATGATAGTGGAATATTGTATTCAATTTTTCATAAGATTTTTTTGTCTATAATCATTCACATCTTAAAACTGCATTTTCAAAGGATCATTTATAATTGTGAAAGTCCCTGACTCCCATCACTTTCAGGGACTTCAGTATTTTTTTCCATTCCATAAAAATTTCAAGGGTTTCAACAAAAAAAGATCTTTAAAAAAGTTGAAATCTTTCAGGCAGTCCAGCTTTGTATTAAGAGCAATCAGTATAAACAGAACTGTATTTCAAAAAACCTTTCCAAACAAGCAAATGTCTCTGGCCTATGTCAAAGGTACTTATGTTTTGATACTGCGAGTTCAGAAGATAAGAACAATATATTTCTTACAAGATAATTAGTAAATGCAGTTCCTTTTCTTTAAATGTCTTAAGGCTATTTAAAAATCCAATTGGGTTTGGGCCCAGGTAGGGTTAGAAGGCACCTACCTAAATGTTATATATATACAGTATACAAGTTTTCACACAATAACATTTATTTCTAATTAAAACTGTAATTTGTATGGGTGGGGGTCTTGACAAGATGTGCCTTCCAAACCCCACCCTCTACATTTAATTTTGGAATAGCCCTTAGTATTTCTCTATTGACTTCAGATAACTCTGGAAAAATTATAATGCTGTCTATGTAACTTTCATAAAATCATGTGACATTTGTCAAATGAAGAAAATATTCGTCATATTTAAAAGTAAATAGTTTGGTTGATTAATAACTACTGATGCAAGACCATCATCCAAATTTATAATGAACAATGACTGAAGATGATGATGGATGGCTGCTAAACGTCCAGCGGCAAATTAATGTGCATATTCAGGACGAGAACATGTTAATGTAATATGAATATTTACCCTGTTTTGTACTAGACCAAGACGCGGAGTCAGATTTTTACTACATGTAGTTCACAAGGTAACAGTCTGAAAATAATTTCAACAGGCTGACAGGGACCATAAGGAACTTAACATTTTATGAGTGAGGAAGTTAGTTTTTTTTATCATTATTTCATTGTATTTTGCAAGAAAAAAATTGTTTTCCACTGTAAACATTGTAAATTGTTAGAAAAAGCAAGAAACTGCAAGCAAATTAGCAATGTTGTGTAAAGCTAACCCTACTTGTTACCAGACATTAAAGGAAATTCCATGCTCGATGATTATTAAAATATCAAAGTATTGTAAATCAAGAGTTAATTCCTGACAAATCTGAAAATCATTACAACTTATCATTTTCAAGTTCCAGACAAAATTCAATTGATTCCTTCATAAAAGAATCTGAGAAATTTGTAACAAAAAACGCCATGCTCAGTCATGTTGTCAGAAGGTATTATAAAAATCCAAAGTATCATCAAACAGGAAGTGACTGCCTGACGGATACGAAAAATCTATTTCACATCGTTATAAAGGTCTGCTATCTAGACCAAATATCAAATCCTTTCATAACACAAAAGCAGACTACCAATACCATGGCAATATGAAAGGAAGGAATGACAAAGAAGCTGAATGCTGTGCACCACCAACTTAGCAAGTGGGATATTAATCCATTACCAAACATGATTAATGATTAACAGAACTGTATTTGATGAATTGTCATAGTCAATTAGGGATTTGACAGATGCAAATCCATTTCTCCAGTAAAACAGATACACTGTACAATGTACGTGTGATTGTCAAAATCTTTAAACTTAGAATGGTAGAACACATCTCCATATAAGTGCAGAAAAATTAATTAAACCAATTTAAAAGAAAAGAAAAATGTGTCTGTGGAACACATATGTCGCCATTTGTAAATATAGAGGTTTTGTTTTCTTTGAAACTTAATAAAGGGATATTACACAAGAAAGGTGAAGCCACACATTTGATCATTATCTCTGTTTGGTGGTAATAACCATTGTGTGTAAGTTTCAGAATATTTGGTTGTGGCAAAGTAAAGTTAGACTGTGGAAACAGCAAATTCAGTCAGTTTTTATAAAGGGACATTACTCAAGAACAATGAAAGTGAGGCCAAACAAATTTGAACTTTATATGTGTGTGGTGGTAATAAGTATTGTGCATAAGTTAAGAACATTTGGTTGAGGCATAAAAAATCAAAAGTGAGGAAACAGCAAATTCAGCATTTTTTTTTTATTTATATAAGGACATAATTCAACAACCTTGAAAGTGTTGCCACCCAAATTCGACCTTGATATGTATTTTGTGGTAATATCATTGTTTTTAAATTTCAGTATGTTCATAACATTTGGTTGAGGCAAATTAAAGTTAGGAAACAGATACTAATTTCAGGACATACATATTTTAAAAAGTATTGACGAGTAAACCTTAATGCCCCCTTCTAACATGGGCATAAAAATAGTAACATTTCTAATATTTGCAAATTCTACCAATCAACACTACCGCTCTGCATATCTTTTAAAACCTACTGTCATATAAGCATGTACATACACTTTATCCTCATTTGAAATTCTGAGAACTATACCTTGATAATTTGCAACAACTTGCTTTTTATGCCAATTCTATAAGTCAAATTTTAGAAAAAAATACATATGTGATCATCAGATGTCTTGTATAAGCATACAACTTTACAAATAGAGACAAAAGTTTATATACATGATATAATGTTATACAAGTTAGTATTTGGAAAAAATTGACGAAAACAGTTGTTTGGCTTTTAAAAGAGGGACGAAAGATACCAGAGCAGTGTTCTCCCCAGGATTTTTTTAAGGCGCAAAATTCAAGGGCGCGTAACTCTTTTTTTAGAGTGATCTGAAGCAATAAGTCATAAATCATGACATGCAATATGAATTATAATGCTTTGTGTTATGTGTTTAATAATGCAGAGTATTAATGAATTACAAGAATATATATATGAAATAAATTGATTTTAAACACAAAAGTTATTTATATTCAGTCAATTAAAGAAG